ACATCGATCATACTCTGACGACAGTTTAAGATTCGAACCTGTCTCTCTTTCTAGCCTCTCTCTCTCCCCTCTCTCTCTCTCTCTCTCTTCTCTCTCTAGTTTCTCTCTCTGATCTCTTTCTGGCCTCTCTCTCTGGTTTCTCTCTCTGGTCTCCGTCTGGTCTCCCTCTCTGTTCTATGCTATTGAACAACTGGCTTGTTTTTTGCCAAAAAAAGTTGTTGGTTCCAAACAGGGTAACACAAGCTTGACTATTGGCTGGAACTCATTTCCCATCGCAAATGTAGCATAATTTCCGCAACCATGTTTTTTTTGCATATTATTAAACAAAAAAACAAGCTTCTGCCACCTTCATTGTGTGCCAACGCTCGGATTGAACCAGGGACATTTTAGATGGTTTTTAATTTATTTTTCCACTCTTTTTCACTTAAAAATGACTGCGTCAAAGTACTTTGGGAAAGTTGAGTCTATTTTTAGTCCCAACATATTAAATCTTTCCTATTTCTTTCTTAGTCGGTAATGCAAAAATCAAATTCTCAATGAGCCGTGTTGAGGTCGGCAAGACCCAACAGGAGGTGTGTGCTCCTAATGAGACGCGTGGAATTGTGGGTCTTTAGGCAGTGAGTAGTGACATTTTCCCCATCTAACATTGATCACAGAGAAAGTAGACTTAGACTGAGATTTCCAAAGTTCTTTTTAGTAGAGTCCTTGCCCCCGAGAGAGGGGAGCTGTTGTGCATGGGAACAGGGGAACTGTACCACCTGGAGGACACATATGCAGACACAGGGAGAACATGCAAACTCCACTTTGAAAGGCCCAGTCTGGAGGTGGAATCAAACCCAACTTTAAGATATTGAGTTGCATGCAGTGGGGGCGGTTCCCAGCTCAAAAGTGGCCAAAATGACGTGCGCTGACATGCTTGCAATACCACCCCGGGCCGATGGGGGTGGACCCAGAAGAAGAATTAGCCAATGCTAACATATAGCGTTGGCAGACCTCTCAAAAACGTCTTTACAGGATGGACCAAAAGTTGGCTCTTGGCCCAAAGCTCCGTTCCACATGTGTGTCAATACTGAGGGGGGTGAATTTTTTTGGTCCACTCTAGTTTACTCGCGGAGAATTTTTGAAGTCCCTCGTTGAAATGAATGAAGCTGCGCCGGCTGACGCATGCGCAGATGCATTTTTCCACAATTTTCTTGTGGGCGGGACCACTCGCGGCCATCTTGGATTGCTCCATGAAAGCACTTTTCATGGCCAACTCCTATGAACGGTGGAGATAGACGTGACTCTGTCCGTTATTATATACAGTCTATGGTTGCATGATTACCTTTCTGTTCCTCTTAGCTTTTCCAAATTCCAGCCAGAGCAAAAAAAGCACCTATTCACAATTCAATAATTTTTGGAGCTTCAAAACGTTTTACTAACTTGTTTAGGAATCTCTTACACCCTCTAACTATTAATCTCTATCTTGATTATGTTTAAAAGCAATGTTTGCAACTTTCAGAGCCCAGAGAAGCTTTTTGAGCTAACTCACTTTGCACCTGTGGATACTGAAACTGTCAAAAAGATAATGAGTCTGAGCTCCTCCACATGTAGCCTGGATATATTACCCTCTAAATTTCTGAAGTCCGTCGTGAGCAGTTTGTTACCTTCACTGACACAAATATTAAACATGTCTCTGTCGTCAGGAACATTTCCTATGGCCCTAAAAACAGCAGTCATAAGACCTCTCCTAAAAATCCTGGATCCTGCGGTACTTCAAAATTACCGCCCCATATCGAATCTGCCATTCATTGGAAAAATTCTTGAAAAAGTGGTCTCTCAACAACTTACTGAATTTTTAACAATGAATAATTCTTTTGATGTGTTCCAGTCTGGGTTTAGACATTCGACTTCACACTGATGCAGATAAAGTCACAGTTTTAGTCATGTTAGATCTTAGTGCCGCGTTCGACACTGTCGACCATGAGATCCTCATGCAGAGACTAGAGGACTGGGTTGGTGTCACTGGCACAGCCCTAAACTGGTTTAGGTCTTACCTGGAAGATAGGAAGTACTTTGTGGAGATTGGAGACTGCGTCTCAGATCATATGGCCCTGACCTGTGGAGTACCACAGGGGTCGATCCTGGGACCTCTCCCATTTATCTCTACATGCTGCCATTAGGTCAGTTAATACAAAGAAACAAAGTGTCCTACCACAATTACGCTGACCACATTCAAATCTATGTTTCAATGACTGCAGGAGAACATGGACCACTGGATTTGCTCCTTCACTGTATCCAACAGATCAGTGACTGGATGCAAAATAATTTCCTCCAGCTAAATGCAGACAGAACCGAAATCATTGTCTTTGGTCCCCAGAAACAAAGAGAGGGCGACATTTGTCAACTTCAGTCTCTCTCCCTACTGCCGTCAGACAAGGTGAGAAATTTAGGGGTAATACTTGACTCAGACCTAAATTTCAATAGCCACATAAAATCAACAACATCAACAGCTTTTTACCATCTGAAGAACATTGCCATCTGAAGAACAAGTTAGAAATATATTGTCCAAAGCAGACTTGGAGATTCTTGTCCATGCTTTTATCTCCAGCAGGCTAGACTACTGCAATGGCCAGCTCACAGGTCTGTCCAAGCAGTACATCCAAAATGCAGAAGCTCGAGTCCTGACTAGAACCAGGAACTACGACCATATTAGTCCGGTCCTCCGGTGTCTGCACTGGCTTCCTGTGGCTCAGATAATAGACTTTAAAACAGCTCTGCTTGTGTACAAGTCTCTCCATGGCCTTACACCAAAATATATTAGTGACATGTTGGTGCCATATGAACCGGCTCGGACTCTGAGGAGCACAGGGACTGGCCTCCTGCTGGTGCCCAGAGTGAGAGCCAAACATGGGGAGGCTGCGTTTCAGATCCATGCAGCTAAGATCTCGAACAATCTCCCTGAAAATGTGAGAGAGGCGTCTACTCTGTCAATGTTCAAATCCAGGTTAAAGACGGTTCTGTTTGCCTGTGCATACAACTGAAGGATCTTATCTCCATTTCTAATGCACTGTTTATTTATTTATTTTTCATAATTCCTTGTGTAATTTTGAAAGTTTTAATGGTTTTAATCTTTTGTGTGATTTGAATGTTTTAATTGTGATTTTAGTGTTTGTTTTATGTGATGATTTGTGATGGACTGTGAAGTGCTTTGTGTTGCCCTGTGTATGAAAGGCGCTCTACAAATGAACTTTGATTGATAGATAGAGCGCACTTTGTGTCACCGTCAAGCGAACTATTAACGTTAGCAAAGCATTATCCGTCTATCCGAGTATATCATGTAGACAGTAGGTAATAACATGGAATATTTGGTACTGGGTCTTTAAACCACACCTAATTTACACCTAACCACTTTAATCTAGACCCATGTTCTCAAAACAGTTTGCTTCCCTAAAGAGTGAATGGATGGTGTTGGTTGGAGGCTTAGATGTGCCAGTGTGTCCGGCGTCTCGCTTCCGTCATCACCGTGTGTGAAGTGATTGGAACAATATCTGTCTCGGAACATTGTAAAGCACTTTGGGTGACCTTGGGCTGTAATAATGTGCTATATAAATAAATACTACTTACTCACTGCGTAGGTTTCCTCCGGGTACTCCGGTTTCCCCTACCTCTAAAACCATGTACAATAGGTCTGGCATGCGCCTCTTGTACTGGCGACCCCGCTCCCATCTCTGTGTATAGTGAGAAGTTAAACGCCCAAAAATAACAATTGTAAACCGCTTTGTGACTCTGGTCTGTGAAAGGAGGTATATAAATGATTACTTACTTACTTTCTAGATTTCACATCTTGATATTAGCTTGAAAACTGACTTGAAAAGTGAAAAAGAGGATCACCCTCACTCAGCTAGTCAGCTCTCTTGTTTCCAGTTTTTTAATATAAGGACATTTATTCACATTTAAGGACGATGATCATCCCTCTCCCTACGGACCAATGACTCTGACTCTGATTTGTTTGTTTTTATTGCATTTACTGTGTTTGAACAGTTTGATTCTCTGATCTGTTGTTGGCGATAACATCAACAACTTGAACTCCTTCGAGATGACTTCTGTTGTGATTTAGGGCAAACTGAATTACTTAAATACAAAATTACATGTTTTTTTTAATAAGACGAAGACTGTGTTGTAGTCTATCTTGTTTACTTTTACAAGACTATTTCTAACGAGACAAACAACATGGTTTATTTGTTATAAAAAAGACGGTACCATTCATCAGAAAGCAGGAAATCTTCTCTCAAACTCTAAATACTCGGTGCAACACAAACAACTAATCAGCTTGTGCTAACTCCACTCACACATTACTCTCCTCTTTCTCTGCTCGTCCATGTTATCGGCTTATGGGGCGCCTCACAAAACGGAGCTTAGGTCTCGGATAAAGGGGACAAATTAACTCGAGAGGAAGTCAAATGTCAACACGACTGCTTCACCGCGGAACCAGAATAAACTCGCGAGAGGTTTGGGGACGAGGTTATTATTTATTCTTGTTACAAAATATGTGCCTTATTCAGAAGCAGCGGCGTCAGATTAGGTTGTGTGTTAAATTCAAGGAATATGACTACTACGCCAAAAACTGATACTAGTCTTCTTGAAAATGCTTCTCTGTTCTCTCCCTGTTGACCCTCTGGTCTCGCTTTGATTGGTCTCGCTGGTCTCTTTCTCTGGTCTTTCTGCTCTCTCTCCCTCCCTCTCTATTTGGTCTCTCTCTCAGTTCTCTCTCTGGTCTCTCTTGCTTCTCTCTCTCTGGTCTCTCTCTCGTCACTCCCTGGTCTCTACCTGGTCCCTCTCTGGTCTCTAGTTTCTCTCTCTCTGGTCTCTCTCTCTGGTTTCTCTCTGATCTCTCACTGGTCTCTCTCTGGTCTGATGAATAGTACATTTAGCATATTGTGTCCCTGTAATTTCGCTCGATGGCTTCACCTGTGTCTGCACTCTGAGTCAGAAGCCATATAGTCCCGTATCCGTCAGCGATGATAAAAGTGTTTGGTGAAGTCTCCAGGTGCTGCGGTGACTGGCAGCCTCCTGATGAGCATCTGAAGAGCTGCAGTGCATGCTGGGAAAGTGCTGCACACTGGAGTGGAGCGGACACATGACAAGCACAGGCAGTAACAGCACCACAGAAAATCATCACGTAGTTTAATTTAACCGCACACGAACATCAGTATTTTCCTACTGTTGACAAATTTGGTAGCAGCGAGTAACGCACAATACACAACAGACTTTTTCTGAGGTGCTCATTGGTTGTAATTATCAAAGCTCAAAGACTCTAATTATTCATCCATCCATCCATTTTCTTCCGCTCCATCCGTTGCCGGGTTGCAGCAGTCTAAGCAGAGACCCCCAGACTTCCCTCCTGCTCATCTCAGGGTCCAAGAAAATGTCTCTTGATTTGAGTTCATTATGAGTATTTGTCAATGGAACCAGTATTTTTGGCCTCACTCTGGTCCCTCCCTGCTTTACTAAAGATCTAAAACATTAACTCACATTTATTTTTAGAATGTTAGCAAAAATCTGCTCTGTCTCTTTTAACTCAATTATAGAATGGTAACAGGGGCATGTTTTTGTTTAATAAACGGAGCTAAAAACGGCTCCAGATCGTTTTTTTCATAGTATGTGTGCTTTAATTATTGCTTTTATGCAGTTGGTGTAGAATATTGCCTATGTGGTGTATTTTCTATCCTTTTGTGTAATTATTTTGTTATTCTTTAATTAAAATCAATAAACTGGTGTCTGGTGTTTCATTTCTTGTTCATTTCCCCCTTGTGTAAAGATGTTATATTGTGGTTTTAATATTCCTAAAATGTGTAATATTTTTAATGGATATGTCACCTTTTTCGCATGGTTAACGTGAGGTTTTTGTGTCCTCAGGTCGGACCTTAGCCCGTAGCTCTGCCGGACTGACGGAGGGCAGCCCAGTGGAAACCATGAGTGAGTTTGTTTGGATTTCTCTTTTATACTTTGGTCTATTTGCTCCTCATCTGTCCTGCACCCAGCTCCATCTCACTCCGTCTGAGGTTAGAACAATATGCCCTCACTCTGTTTGGACCACCAACAATCACCCCCTTTAGAAATATTGCCGCTTCAGAGGCTAAGTCCCGGGTCACTGCTGAGAAAAGTGGATTTTATTGTAGTTTTGAAAGGCTAAAAGTTAAATTTAAGCTGAAATGTCGGTCTGAAAGGTCCTGTAACTGAAAAATGCAGTGCAGTAAAGATAGAATTGTCTTATCGAACTCGTTTAACTGGTTCAAATTAGCCCCGTTAGCTTTCAAAACCAGATGTAAACTGGTGAATTAACCGGAGATCTTTTTCATGCTTTACACAGGATTTAATTATGGCTTTAAAATTGTAGTTCAATTAAATAAAAGGTTGATAATTGCACTTTGTGTATGGCTACATGGGAAGTTATTGAAGGACCAGGAGAAATCCAATCAGAGCCGCAGTTTCCCGAGGTCCTAGTTTGTTTAGATAGATACTTTATTGATCCCCGTAAGAGAAATTCAGGTGTCCAGCAGCAAAAACACATCCTTCCATGCAAACAAAACACAAACTGATATACTTTACCATGATAGTACAGTTGTGATGTGCACTATTGTTAAAGTCTTTCACTTATCTTTTTAAAACAAAAGGAAAACTTCTTCCCACTTTGACTGTGACATCCGTTATGAATATGTGCAATACTCATACACGATTATATAACATTATGCAAGATATTCAGATAACCATACAAATACCAGAGACTGATCTAGGTCTGAATAATATTTTGTATGCCTTAATGAGGAATTGAAGTTGGAATGTTCAACATTAGTTCCCCTCCACAACTGCCACCTTTTGTAAACCACAAAGATATATGTTCATACCATAACCACTGTATGGATGACACTGTACTTACATGATCTAGCCTGAATCAGCATGAGATGTCATCTGATGGCTATAGATAGATTTAAGTCTTACAATAGGCTTCAAACCCCTAAAGGTCAGCTATTCTTTGTCCCTGTATTTCTGCCTTTTTATCAAATTCTTTTGTAGCTGTGAGGAACAGCAGACGTCTGTTGCCCAATGATAGGAAACTAGAAAAATAGGAGTAAACCAGGACTGGTTCAGGATTTCGAGCTACAATCATGTAGAAATCTATCTTCATACACTAGATGGAAATAATTACTTTGTTAGGTTTTTGGCATTTATGATGAATTGGCCTTATTGCATACCTATTCTAATAACATAAAGCTGGGGGATCTAATTTGAGCCCTGCGAGTCACTATTTAACGCTTCGGGTTGAGAGCTGAGATGTGGCCAGGCCAAAACTACAGCAAATAGTTTTAATGTTGGGTACCTCAGCTTTTACAACACATAAACACTGCTTCTGAAGATCCCAGTTATCAGGCTCATGTTCAGGCTCATGTTTAAGACTGTAGAAACAGATTTTTATATGGTTACATGATTTTCTTGAAGTATCAGTTGTAGTGGTAGTAGTAGCAGCAGCAGTACTACTAGTACTATAAGTATTAATAGTAATAGTTGTAGTTGTTAAGTCAAAACATGGTATGAATATATGTTGGATTACATAGTTTTGTTGTTTTACAAAGTCAGACCGGGCACTTATCCGCACTGTCCAACAACGATATATTTGACACAGACAGATTAGCTCAGAACTGACTGAAATGGCATTTTACATTTATTATTAGTGTTCGGACATCCATAATCCACTCCCCTGGGGCCAAAACTGGAACAATAAAATCGGATTAGCCCGAGCAATAGGCAAAATTAACAAAGAATGCAAGAGTGGGTAGATATGGAAAGACAGCTTTGTATTCTAACATTATGTAGACCTGACAAAATGACTAAACTATGGCATATAGAGGTTGTTAAAAAGATTATCCTCAGCCAAATGTCCAAATGTTATCCGGGCCATACATTGCCAACCGAACAAAGCATTTCCGGTCATTTTAGAAGAGGGAACACAAACAAGATGGCCTCTGGAGCTCCCTGAAGAGGTTTAAGCCGGTAGCCTCCTGTCGCGCGTAGCATTAGCGCCATTGTTTTTCATATCTGTCCTGGATTTGCATGTTTCTGTCGGCTGCATGGCCACAACTGCATGACCAGATATACGGGCTATGACTAAAGCAACACTGTGGACCATAAACAAAAAAATCTATTTTTTACAGCGCTCCAACCACTATTGAATACACATTCACATATATACTGCCCTGAATAGAATTTTCTATCTTGATTGTCCATTTCTTTTACTAATAATTGGTGCTCTTTACTAAATGAATCAATACACATGTTTAGTTCAGTATTGACCAATATTTTAACTTTATGTATAGAGAAGTAAAATATTGTAAAACCGACCACAACCTGTTGTCATCATGTTTTTAGAAAACATGTTATATTTTGTGTAAGAAAGAACCCTGTGAGTCACCATTTGAGGCTTTGAGCTGATAGCTGATTGGTTGAGTGAGGGTGGTCTTCTCTTTTTCACTTTTCTGTCTAAGCTGATCTAAAGCAATGACAGAGGTCATGTAAAAACTTCTATTGTTTTTGGTTTGAAAGTTGCATACCTCAATTTTAAATCTAAAATACAATCTGAACGCTCCACATATGCCTTTTTGTGATGGAGTGTAAAAAGGGAAATGTATGCATGCAACAAAGATCTTCCAGAATCCACAACTAAAATTAGTTCACACCGCTATTTAATCTCTATAGTAACAGCCATTGACCACATGAGGCTCTCTGATCTCCCACAGTGTTGCTTTAACCCTTCGATCTCTTGACATTGATGATTTTGCTGAGTGGATATAATTATGATTTGGTATCTTCCTTCAGGCTTGAGTTTAGATTGAACAATAGGGGGAAAGCGTGCACCCTTGTCTGATCCCCCCCATCTCTCCCACCACTAAACCCAAACTAAATCAGCCTGCATTTTTGAGTGTCTTTGTCCTGCACCGAAAGGAGTAACCTATCAGAGCTTTTGCTGAAGGATGTTATAAATGGAAATTTACATTGAGTTCCATTGGCTTTGTTAACAGGGCCTGGTGATACGTGTTTCCTCAAAACTTTCATAGTTGTCACATTACGTTACAGTAAGCAGAAAGTGAATGTTTGCAGAGGTTGGAAAGACAAACACATAATATTGGATAAAAACCTATTTTTAAGTATTAGAATAATTTTACTTTTAAACTTGAACAGATCATGATCTTGCTTACTTGATTTTATGGTTGAATGTCATGTTTCCATCAACAATGTAGAAGTGTATTCTAAAGGAACTAAAGTTAAATAATTTAACTCTTTCAATAATGTGCGTGATTGTTTTAACACTAAGCACCTTGTGTAGTATTGTATGCCTCTACTCAGCATAGTATGTATATTATAAATTAATGTATACAAGTAATTCAAATCTTAATATGAAAGTTTGTTAGGGTAAATAAAGTTTAATTAAGTTTGATAACCTCATTTACACCTGAAGGACAACAGTTAGACATCAGTCCCTGATTCTGTTGATGGAAACATGACTCCGCTCAGGCCTCAGAGGAACACTCATCACTCGTTCAGTTGCAAAGACAGAAAAAGGAATAACTAAATTTTACATTTACAAGATCCTGCATCGAAGGCGTTGTAAGTTACTCTTTCTGGGCACCGCAGGTTCATGCAGCACAGATGTTAAGGAAAACCGCAACTTGGACAATCTCTTCTCCAAAGAGGGGGTTGCCCCAGATCCGGCTCTCCCCAATGGGAGCACCGGGGGGAGGAAACGCCCCCTAGAGGAGGGCAATAACGGGCATGCACACTCCAAGTACCGGCCCAAGAAGCGTAAGAAAGTCCCAGGGCCAATACTGCCCAAAAACGCCCTGATGCAGCTGAACGAGATCAAGCCGGGGCTGCAGTACAAGCTCCTGTCTCAGACCGGTCCTGTCCACGCGCCCGTGTTTGTCATGACGGTGGAGGTGAACGGGCAGCTCTTCGAAGGCTCGGGTCCCACCAAGAAAAAGGCCAAGCTCAACGCAGCAGAGAAGGCTCTGCGGTCGTTTGTGCAGTTCCCCAATGCGTCTGAAGCGCACATGGCAATGGGCCGCACCATGTCTGTGCACACGGACTTCACCTCAGACCAGGCAGACTTCCCCGACATGCTGTTCAACGCCTTCGAGACAGCCACACCTCCTGAGGACCCCTTCTACCTGGCGTCTAACAGCAACGGCTCTTTCACCTCGGACTACCCCGCTCTGCCCTCCCCGCTGCCCAGCCTTGTCCAAGCACCGCTCCCCCCTGCGCCTTCCACGTTCATGTCCCCAAACAGCGGCAAGAATCCGGTTATGATCCTCAACGAGCTGCGGCCAGGGCTCAAGTACGACTTTGTGTCAGAGAGCGGAGAGAGTCATGCCAAGAACTTTGTGATGTCAGTGACGGTGGACTCGCAGCACTTTCAGGGCTCAGGGAGGAACAAGAAACTGGCCAAGGCTCGGGCCGCTCAGGCCGCGCTGTCCGCTCTGTTCAACATGCAACTGGACCAGGCTCCGTCCAGACAGCCCATCCCCCGAGAGGGACTCCAGCTGCATCTGCCACAGGTAACAACACTACTGTACTTTGTGTCTGTGTGATGGAGGAGCGCTGAGTGTGACTACCGGCGGCACGGTGGCGGCACGGTGGGCGGCACGGTGGCTGAGTGGATAGCACTCTTGCCTCTCAGCAAGAAGGTCCTGGGTTCGAATCCCGGCCGGACCAGGGCCTTTCTGAGTGGAGTTTGCATGTTATCCCCGTGTCTGCGTAGGTTTCCTCCGGGTACTCCGGTTTCCCCTACCACTAAAAAAAATATGTACAATAGGTCTGGCATGCGCCTCCTGTTCGGCGACCCCGCTCCCATCTCTGTGTGGAGTGAGAGGACAAGTGCCCAAAAAATAACAATTGTAAACCGCTTTGTGACTCTGGTCTGTGAAAGGCGGTATATAAATAAAGCTTACTTACTTACTTACTTACTTACCGCTATATAAACCCTAGGGCTTATATAGCGATGCGGCGAATGGATGGATATTTTCAGTGTGATGGAGTTGGGCTATTGACACAGCAGAGTTTATGGTCTTAACTCCATCAAGTTTAAGTAGCTATAGGACACTTGTTAATTGTCAAATAGATAAAGGGGGTCTGCAGATGGAAATTAGACTAAGGCTATAATCTGGCATGTTTACATTTGTTAAATGTTCATTAATATGCATTGTTCCTCCTTTAACACCCAAATGAATAAATAAATGAAAAATAAAATTAATAAATTAGATGAAGGTGAATGAGTGTAGGAAGCTAACTGTTAAACATCTCGTTTTTAAATCATGTTGTAACCAGTTAAAACAGGTCATCTATCTGCTACATTATAACACAAAAAACTGCAGCTTATATTCAAGTTCGGCTTATATGTGGACAAAATGTACTTTCTTTTCGAATGTAGGTCTGGCAGCTTATATACAGGTGCGCCTTATAGTTCAGAATGTACAGTAACCTCCTGCTCATACACATTGATACTTATTTTCGTCAAAGTTACGTTCAGATAGAGAAGTACACCAGCCAGGGTACGACGTACACATGTGGCTCTAAGTTCTTTGCCCAAGTTTAGTTCCAGTTTTAGTTTACGGCACTGTTTAGCAAATCAAGCCCTTGGAGTTGTTTTTAGATCCATCCATGCTTATATCAGAAACTCTGGTCCTTCTGACTAAAAGCTCTTATTCAGTCCTGTAACAGTATTTTATTGTCCCTCTATGACATCACACTCAGACCCCTGTTCCACCATAAAAAGGTATTGCCCTTCTGGTGGTAGTAGAGGGAGTTCCAGCCAGAACAAATAAAGATAAGATAGTCATTCTAATTGTAAAATATAAAATGGCAACATTAAAAAGTCTCAAAAATAATGCTTAATATTTTCTTAACACAAATAATTCTATACTCTTCTACGTCATTCATTTCACATTTTTAGTTCAACATAATAATACACAGATTACAAAATATTCAACATACAGAACAGTCCATACAGTAATATACCTTACCCTACTATAAGGAATGAGACACACAAACAACACAAAAACACGCACGCACACACACACACACACACACACATAGAGCTCTCAACATGGTTTTACCATCAACAGCAAAAGCCCCAAAGTTCTTTAAAATGGACGTGAATGCAGCCATTGTCCCTCCTTTCAAAAGTGTGACAGGCCAGTGTTTATAATGACAAATGCTGCTGCAGGTGTTCTCCACCCATTCGTATTGTTTTTCTCTGCCTCAGTGAAAAATGCTTTTGGTTTGGATCCATTGGACGCCGAGGCAACATCACAGAAGCGCAATGCTATTATTCTAATGTCGAGGAGGTTCTATAACACTCCTGTTGCTACACAAAGGTTTCAGGTTGTACGTGAAGGGTACAAGCTCACAATACAATTGTGCACTTATCATCTTTGCTCCTGAAATATGATCTACTATTTACATTGCTATGTCATGTTTTAGAATGAGAATTATTAGTAAAAGAAAATTATTTGTTGCCTTCTCTCAGATTTATATTTAAATCCAAGATGGTGTGGTCTAATGGAAGCATTTGTAGTTGTATCAACTACAAATGTGTCCAGAAACGAATGTGTCTGGAGAGATTGCCAAAAGTGATAGAGGCTGTGATTTTGTTTTAAAAAGCAGAAAATGGCTCTGTATTAATGTACGTATTTGAGACATGGACAAAAAAGTGGAGCAGCAGTTTGAGATCCCGCCACACAGCAAGACGTTCCTAAGTTCGACTTTTAGGCAGCGCCAGGTTTCCAGCTTCTAGAGTGGAGTGTGTATGTTCTCCCAATGTATCCGTAGATTTCCTCCAGGTGCCCCAGTTTCTTCCCGCATTAATAATATTTAAAACCATCTCCTTTTACTCTACTCTATACCCTAATTGGGCCCTGTTTAACCAGTACCAGGTACTTTTTCAGTACCTGATTGGTTCTTCCAACCAGGCCAAGCTGGCACTAAAGTGACAGAGATTGCCCAGTGTGCTGCTGAAAGCCATGGTTACAAAGATATTTGCGTGGATACTGGTCTATTGTGTTTACCATGGTTAATGTTTTTAGGTTTGTAACAAGACTCTTAATCAGATTTGAAAACAGGTTTGAATTGTAGTTGAAGATAGGCCTTCAGTTTTCAATCTCTGCTCTTTCTGTAAACATTATTATGTTAGCATATTGTTTGCTACTTTTCTTCATAAACCTTGTCTTGATTAGTATAACACTTTAATTACAGTTACAACAGATAATAGATATTCATAAAAACCTGTCAAAATGTGTGTTTGTGTTTCTTATCAGGGCTGTCCACCACTCACACATTCCCTTCTGTACATACCCAAGATGGCTGCCACATCGAGTTGTTTTAATCTTTTTTTAATTATAGTTTTTGACGCAAAATAAGCTATTGAGACGTACGCTAATCTGTAATCCCTCAAAACAATGACATAATCTAAATGAGCATCAGGCTCTCCAAACACCGGGGTTTTAGAGGGACTGGCTCTGGGCCCCTAAACCGGTCTAAGGAGATCAGCAGTCACTCCAGCTCTGTCATATCCAGTCAGAGATTAAAGCGCTTGTAGTGGCTTTTCTATTGTTTGACTGCAGATTTTTAATTGTTTTAATTGTTTGTGTTCCAATTGTAGTTGGAAAGGGAGAAATATTTAACCTTTTATAACAATGTACAATAGGTCTTTGATTGGCTTGTATGATGGATGTCCCGTATATTTGGCATAAGAGAACCTTTATTTGTCACGGAGTTATTCTGCGTCACAGTGCACATACAAGACAGTGGTAAGAGCACACAACATGTACAGAACATATACATATTAAATATCTATATAATGTATGTAATGTAAAGTGTATAATGGAAGAATAACGTAGATAAAGTGACATTTAGTGGTTGCAGTATTTACATACAGTATGAGATGACATGTACTGGCTTTGGACATTAAATACTTGAATGATACGTGATTAGTGTGGTTTATTACAAAGTTAAGTGCCCCAGCTTTAATTCTGAGGTTGCCATGTTTGTTCTGAAAATAACTAGTTCAAAAGAAACAGTCTCACATACGAGTTATATGAATATCTAATATCCGTATCTAAAGATGTGACAAAAAACAAATGCTTTGGAACTGTTTGAGAGCAAGGAACGAGGTACATGGTTTTTAATACATAGTGAGATTTTAATTTGAGGTGTTTTTTGCCGTTTCCTGCAGGTTTTAGCCGACGCTGTGTCTCGTTTGGTGGTGGACAAATTCAGTGAACTCACAGACAACTTCACATCTCCACACGCGCGCAGGAAAGTTCTGGCCGGAGTTGTGATGACCACAGGTACCAGCAACAAGAGCTCATAGACCATGCGTTAGATTTCTCATTATTATTCACTTACTTATCACAATCTACTGAAACTAAAATAATGATTACAGAGAAGTAATGATAGTGATGCATCTTCATCTGTATTGCACCGTCAGCAAAAAACAATAGTCTTTATTGTTATTAAATATAAATAATATAGGAAAATAAAGCAATAATTGATAATAAATAAGTGTCTTGCAGTTGGACACTTCAGCCACAGCCATATGTGTAATAAGCCACTATTTAACATAGACTGTGTGTGTATTTAATCATTTGTGCTACTTCTGTTCAAAATATTTTTAATAGTTGGGCTTTGCATGCTCATACGGGAAAATAAAGTAGGGTATAATACTATTTTCTATATCCAGGGTGATATTGGGTTGTTGTAACAAGGACTTTGTATGGATCCTAGCTGAAAGCTTTGCAACCAGCTCTTCTTCCTTTCGTCAAAAGGCTCAAGAACAATAATTGTAATTGTCAAGTGGACTTGTACATGTCAAACTTTGCAATCATATTTTCCACAATGACAAAAAAATATTCATCTATCCACCATTTTAATTGTTTTATCCCTCTCTCACTATATTCAATGATAATTGTTAAAATTGTTAAAATTAAAATGTAATCCAGTCTCAGTAGTAATATCTACTAAATATGTCACAATATTTAAACATCAAGCATTGGGATTTACTGTGTATTTTCAAAACGTATCAACTCGTCTTTGATAAGTTTTACCAATATATTTAATTTATATTATTAATTTTTTTGCAAATTTCTCCAAGTTTTAGATGTAGAAGATTCAATAAGACCAAATACTACTTAATCCCTTTTTATTTTCTTAACACATGCTTTCTAATGACATGCTTTCCAAACCGGTAATGACATACATCAGACCCAGGGAGCAGAGAAGTCCAACCAGCCATTTCATCAAATCTTCAGGTCCAGAAAGGGGAGTCCACTGCTCCTGGCTGCAAAAACTTGCAGCCACAGTTCTTTCAGTTTGGACACAGCAGATAAATAGGAATATTGCTTTACTTGGATTATGTGGCTGTCATTGTACTTGCGTCAGTGGCGTTTCGATATGATAAATTCTTGAGCCCTGCTGATGGTGTTGTAGGCACGGACGTGAAGGAGGCTCAGGTGATCTGCGTCTCCACTGGGACGAAGTGCATAAACGGGGAGTACATGTCGGACCGGGGCCTGGCGCTGAATGACTGCCACGCCGAGATCGTGGCCCGAAGATCGCTCCTCAGATACCTGTATGCACAGCTGGAGCACTTCCTCAGGTCTGTGGGAAAAAACTGTTCCGTCTCTCTAAGTATTACACATGCTACTGTATTCCTGTGTTACTTCATGCATTTATGCGTTTAGTCATCTGCCCCTTAAGACCGTATCATTGCATTTCCTGTGTTGGAACTGTTAGATTTTCAGATCAGTGTTGTTGAATCAACTTTGTGAAGTCCTCCGAGATAACTACTGTTGTGATTTAGGGCTATACAAAAATACATTTAATTTAATTAAACATTGCTATGATGCCCTCTGCTTTCATTCTTTAAATTCAGACACATTAAGGTTCCTTATAAAATATAAAAAAACAACTTGAAAACATAGAATATATCAACATTAGAGTTTCCCCGTCTCAGAGGACAGGAAATAACAGATTATCCAGGATCACAGGACGATACAAGGACATGCATTTATGTGATTGTAACCTTTGCACAGGTAATTGTATCGGTGATGACTTTCATTTACTGTTTGAGTGCTTGAATAATGAAGTGGGTGCATACAGAAACAGACTTACTTGTGCACTTTAGCAAAATGGAAGCCACAGAATCATTTGTAAACTTTGCATTTTGAAAAAGCGACCATTGTTTGTTCTTCCATATATACAGTATGGGGTTATGAGCAAGAAAGACAGAGGGACCTGGTGAGAGATTGATGGAGACATCCAGAGGCTTCCAGGCACTTCCTGTTTTTACCCATAGGTGGTCGTCAAAACACCATGCATTCTCCACTTCTTCATTGATCTAACTTCTATAAAGAGCAACAGCACCTTTGTGTCTTTGCCATCAGCTTTCCTTAGACTCAGGCAGATGTTAAGCCTTATTGTAATATATATATTCAGTCTTTATCAAACTTGAGTATGAGTCTGATCATTCCATTCATTATCAGCCCTAACCCAAGTCAAGCCAGAAAGATAAGTTATCACATCTTCACTTTTAGATTGTAAATACTATGGAGCTGAATGTACCTTTTCTCATTCACGGCTTAGCTGAGGGTTGTTCATTTCACTGAGCATTCACCCCAAACATTACACTATGAGAAGCTGTTATTCAGGGTTAGAGTTCTCTTCATAGACTCACATTAATCTGTGAGGCGTACCTGGTGACAGCAGAGAATGCTTTATGAATGTCAGACGGAAAAAGGCTAAACTGTGCAGACTGACTGATTTCTACTGCCTGTCCATTTATGAAAATAACAGTCTGAGCCCGCTCAATTACATAGATTGTATATAGGAATGGACAATGCTAACCTGCTAGCGCTACAAAACCTTCCTTAAGTTTTTCTCCAATCGTTTTGGCTCTCACAAAAGTAAACTCTGTCACACCATTTTGGGCTTAAAGAATAAAGTTTTTTTATGCATACCTTATTACTTGTTTATGACCTATCTGGACCATATGCCAAAGCAAATTCCTAGTTTATGCCTTATGTGTTACTTACAATGGCAATGAAAATAATTCTGCTTCTTATTCTAGTAACTCAAGGGTATTCCGTCCTCAAATCCAGCTTCAGCTCGCAAACAGCACCACTCCTGATTGGCTCTTTGGTTGCTAGGAGGTTGCTACCCGTGAATTTGACTCCAATTTCCAAGCCTGTTAAGGTTTATTTTTCTCACCACTCGGTTAGTCCACTCCTTCTACAGTCTGTGCTTGTTTTTAAGCAGTGAGAACGTAGTCTGTATTCAGTGCGTGCTGTTATTTCTGGTACCAGCAGCACTCTCTAGTTTACATTCGTCTCCCGCTCATCTCATATTTGGCCCCTTCATCATTTACTTGGGGATTAGAGTTTACTGTTGAGAACGAAAATAAGCTGCTCCAGCGCTGACAGAGCTCTGACATTAATCGTCCAGTATGAGTGTGATCAGAGAGCGAATGCATCAGCAGAGGGCCTCGTTGATGGTCACATTTGAACCAGACGGCTGCCAGAGCTCTAGGACCATGACAAAGACTTGTTGTTGTCATGATCACTTGTCGTTCTTGTGTTGAAAGCTCTTTAATGTTGGCCGGGTATGAATGCCTTTTGGAATTTGGAACGGCGTTAGTGCAATATGGGATCACATGTATCCACTCTCACTTTACTCACTTTACTGAGTCACTGTTAGCCCATAAAATATTATGCTAACATGTACTGCAGTATCACATGCTGCTAACGTGTACAGTAGTGTCACATGCTGCTAACGTGTACAGTAGTGTCACATGCTGCTAACGTGTACAGGAATCAGCATGAGATGTCATCTGATGGCTATAGATAGATTTAAGTCTTACAATAGGCTTCAAACCCCTAAAGGTCAGCTATTCTTTGTCCCTGTATTTCTGCCTTTTTATCAAATTCTTTTGTAGCTGTGAGGAACAGCAGACGTCTGTTGCCCAATGATAGGAAACTAGAAAAATAGGAGTAAACCAGGACTGGTTCAGGATTTCGAGCTACAATCATGTAGAAATCTATCTTCATACACTAGATGGAAATAATTACTTTGTTAGGTTTTTGGCCTTTATGATGAATTGGCCTTATTGCATACCTATTCTAATAACATAAAGCTGGGGGATCTAATTTGAGCCCTGCGAGTCACTATTTAACGCTTCGGGTTGAGAGCTGAGATGTGGCCAGGCCAAAACTACAGCAAATAGTTTTAATGTTGGGTACCTCAGCTTTTACAACACGTAAACACTGCTTCTGAAGATCCCAGTTATCAGGCTCATGTTCAGGCTCATGTTTAAGACTGTAGAAACAGATTTTTATATGGTTACATGATTTGCTTGAAGTATCAGTTGTAGTGGTAGTAGTAGCAGCAGCAGTACTACTAGTACTATAAGTATTAATAGTAATAGTTGTAGTAGTTAAGTCAAAACATGGTATGAATATATGTTGGATTACATAGTTTTGTTGTTTTACAAAGTCAGACCGGGCACTTATCCGCACTGTCCAACAACGATATATTTGACACAGACAGATTAGCTCAGAACTGACTGAAATGGCATTTTACATTTATTATTAGTGTTCGGACATCCATAATCCACTCCCCTGGGGCCAAAACTGGAACAATAAAATCGGATTAGCCCGAGCAATAGGCAAAATTAACAAAGAATGCAAGAGTGGGTAGATATGGAAAGACAGCTTTGTATTCTAACATTATGTAGACCTGACAAAATGACTAAACTATGGCATATAGAGGTTGTTAAAAAGATTATCCTCAGCCAAATGTCCAAATGTTATCCGGGCCATACATTGCCAACCGAACAAAGCATTTCCGGTCATTTTAGAAGAGGGAACACAAACAAGATGGCCTCTGGAGCTCCCTGAAGAGGTTTAAGCCGGTAGCCTCCTGTCGCGCGTAGCATTAGCGCCATTGTTTTTCATATCTGTCCTGGATTTGCATGTTTCTGTCGGCTGCATGGCCACAACTGCATGACCAGATATACGGGCTATGACTAAAGCAACACTGTGGACCATAAACAAAAAAATCTATTTTTTACAGCGCTCCAACCACTATTGAATACACATTCACATATATACTGCCCTGAATAGAATTTTCTATCTTGATTGTCCATTTCTTTTACTAATAATTGGTGCTCTTTACTAAATGAATCAATACACATGTTTAGTTCAGTATTGACCAATATTTTAACTTTATGTATAGAGAAGTAAAATATTGTAAAACCGACCACAACCTGTTGTCATCATGTTTTTAGAAAACATGTTATATTTTGTGTAAGAAAGAACCCTGTGAGTCACCATTTGAGGCTTTGAGCTGATAGCTGATTGGTTGAGTGAGGGTGGTCTTCTCTTTTTCACTTTTCTGTCTAAGCTGATCTAAAGCAATGACAGAGGTCATGTAAAAACTTCTATTGTTTTTGGTTTGAAAGTTGCATACCTCAATTTTAAATCTAAAATACAATATGAACGCTCCACATATGCCTTTTTGTGATGGAGTGTAAAAAGGGAAATGTATGCATGCAACAAAGATCTTCCAGAATCCACAACTAAAATTAGTTCACACCGCTATTTAATCTCTATAGTAACAGCCATTGACCACATGAGGCTCTCTGATCTCCCACAGTGTTGCTTTAACCCTTCGATCTCTTGACATTGATGATTTTGCTGAGTGGATTTAATTATGATTTGGTATCTTCCTTCAGGCTTGAGTTTAGATTGAACAATAGGGGGAAAGCGTGCACCCTTGTCTGATCCCCCCCATCTCTCCCACCACTAAACCCAAACTAAATCAGCCTGCATTTTTGAGTGTCTTTGTCCTGCACCGAAAGGAGTAACCTATCAGAGCTTTTGCTGAAGGATGTTATAAATGGAAATTTACATTGAGTTCCATTGGCTTTGTTAACAGGGCCTGGTGATACGTGTTTCCTCAAAACTTTCATAGTTGTCACATTACGTTACAGTAAGCAGAAAGTGAATGTTTGCAGAGGTTGGAAAGACAAACACATAATATTGGATAAAAACCTATTTTTAAGTATTAGAATAATTTTACTTTTAAACTTGAACAGATCATGATCTTGCTTACTTGATTTTATGGTTGAATGTCATGTTTCCATCAACAATGTAGAAGTGTATTCTAAAGGAACTAAAGTTAAATAATTTAACTCTTTCAATAATGTGCGTGATTGTTTTAACACTAAGCACCTTGTGTAGTATTGTATGCCTCTACTCAGCATAGTATGTATATTATAAATTAATGTATACAAGTAATTCAAATCTTAATATGAAAGTTTGTTAGGGTAAATAAAGTTTAATTAAGTTTGATAACCTCATTTACACCTGAAGGACAACAGTTAGACATCAGTCCCTGATTCTGTTGATGGAAACATGACTCCGCTCAGGCCTCAGAGGAACACTCATCACTCGTTCAGTTGCAAAGACAGAAAAAGGAATAACTAAATTTTACATTTACAAGATCCTGCATCGAAGGCGTTGTAAGTTACTCTTTCTGGGCACCGCAGGTTCATGCAGCACAGATGTTAAGGAAAACCGCAACTTGGACAATCTCTTCTCCAAAGAGGGGGTTGCCCCAGATCCGGCTCTCCCCAATGGGAGCGCCGGGGGGAGGAAACGCCCCCTAGAGGAGGGCAATAACGGGCATGCACACTCCAAGTACCGGCCCAAGAAGCGTAAGAAAGTCCCAGGGCCAATACTGCCCAAAAACGCCCTGATGCAGCTGAACGAGATCAAGCCGGGGCTGCAGTACAAGCTCCTGTCTCAGACCGGTCCTGTCCACGCGCCCGTGTTTGTCATGACGGTGGAGGTGAACGGGCAGCTCTTCGAAGGCTCGGGTCCCACCAAGAAAAAGGCCAAGCTCAACGCAGCAGAGAAGGCTCTGCGGTCGTTTGTGCAGTTCCCCAATGCGTCTGAAGCGCACATGGCAATGGGCCGCACCATGTCTGTGCACACGGACTTCACCTCAGACCAGGCAGACTTCCCCGACATGCTGTTCAACGCCTTCGAGACAGCCACACCTCCTGAGGACCCCTTCTACCTGGCGTCTAACAGCAACGGCTCTTTCACCTCGGACTACCCCGCTCTGCCCTCCCCGCTGCCCAGCCTTGTCCAAGCACCGCTCCCCCCTGCGCCTTCCACGTTCATGTCCCCAAACAGCGGCAAGAATCCGGTTATGATCCTCAACGAGCTGCGGCCAGGGCTCAAGTACGACTTTGTGTCAGAGAGCGGAGAGAGTCATGCCAAGAACTTTGTGATGTCAGTGACGGTGGACTCGCAGCACTTTCAGGGCTCAGGGAGGAACAAGAAACTGGCCAAGGCTCGGGCCGCTCAGGCCGCGCTGTCCGCTCTGTTCAACATGCAACTGGACCAGGCTCCGTCCAGACAGCCCATCCCCCGAGAGGGACTCCAGCTGCATCTGCCACAGGTAACACTACTGTACTTTGTGTCTGTGTGATGGAGGAGCGCTGAGTGTGACTACCGCTATATAAACCCTAGGGCTTATATAGCGATGCGGCGAATGGATGGATATTTTCAGTGTGATGGAGTTGGGCTATTGACACAGCAGAGTTTATGGTCTTAACTCCATCAAGTTTAAGTAGCTATAGGACACTTGTTAATTGTCAAATAGATAAAGGGGGTCTGCAGATGGAAATTAGACTAAGGCTATAATCTGGCATGTTTACATTTGTTAAATGTTCATTAATATGCATTGTTCCTCCTTTAACACCCAAATGAATAAATAAATGAAAAATAAAATTAATAAATTAGATGAAGGTGAATGAGTGTAGGAAGCTAACTGTTAAACATCTCGTTTTTAAATCATGTTGTAACCAGTTAAAACAGGTCATCTATCTGCTACATTACAACACGAAAAACTGCAGCGTATATTCAAGTTCGGCTTATATGTGGACAAAATGTACTTTCTTTTTGAATGTAGGTCTGGCAGCTTATATACAGGTGCGCCTTATAGTTCAGAATGTACAGTAACCTCCTGCTCATACACATTGATACTTATTTTCGTCAAAGTTACGTTCAGATAGAGAAGTACACCAGCCAGGGTACGTACTGTACACATGTGGCTCTAAGTTCTTTGCCCAAGTTTAGTTCCAGTTTTAGTTTACCGCACTGTTTAGCAAATCAGGCCCTTGGAGTTGTTTTTAGATCCATCCATGCTTATATCAGAAACTCTGGTCCTTCTGACTAAAAGCTCTTATTCAGTCTTGTAAGAGTATTTTATTGTCCCTCTATGACATCACACTCAGACCCCTGTTCCACCATAAAAAGGTATTGCCCTTCTGGTGGTAGTAGAGGGAGTTCCAGCCAGAACAAATAAAGATAAGATAGTCATTCTAATTGTAAAATATAAAATGGAAACATTAAAAAGTCTCAAAAATAATGCTTAATATTTTCTTAACACAAATAATTCTATACTCTTCTACGTCATTCATTTCACATTTTTAGTTCAACATAATAATACACAGATTACAAAATATTCAACATACAGAACAGTCCATACAGTAATATACCTTACCCTACTATAAGGAATGAGACACACAAACAACACAAAAACACGCACACACACACACACACACACACACACACACACAGAGCTCTCAACATGGTTTTACCATCAACAGCAAAAGCCCCAAAGTTCTTTAAAATGGACTTGAATGCAGCCATTGTCCCTCCTTTCAAAAGTGTGACAGGCCAGTGTTTATAATGACGAATGCTGCTGCAGGTGTTCTCCACCCATTCGTATTGTTTTTCTCTGCCTCAGTGAAAAATGCTTTTGGTTTGGATCCATTGGACGCCGAGGCAACATCACAGAAGCGCAATGCTATTATTCTAATGTCGAGGAGGTTCTATAACACTCCTGTTGCTACACAAAGGTTTCAGGTTGTACGTGAAGGGTACAAGCTCACAATACAATTGTGCACTTATCTTTGCTCCTGAAATATGATCTACAATTTACATTGCTATGTCATGTTTTAGAATGAGAATTATTAGTAAAAGAAAATTATTTGTTGCCTTCTCTCAGATTTATATTTAAATCCAAGATGGTGTGGTCTAATGGAAGCATTTGTAGTTGTATCAACTACAAATGTGTCCAGAAACGAATGTGTCTGGAGAGATTGCCAAAAGTGATAGAGGCTGTGATTTTGTTTTAAAAAGCAGAAAATGGCTCTGTATTAATGTACGTATTTGAGACATGGACAAAAAAGTGGAGCAGCAGCTTGAGATCCCGCCACACAGCAAGACGTTCCTAAGTTTGACTTTTGGGCAGCGCCAGGTTTGCAGCTTCTAGAGTGGAGTGTGTATGTTCTCCCAATGTATCCGTAGATTTCCTCCAGGTGCCCCAGTTTCTTCCCGCATTAATAATATTTAAAACCATCTCCTTTTACTCTACTCTATACCCTAATTGGACCCTGTTTAACCAGTACCAGGTACTTTTTCAGTACCTGATTGGTTCTTCCAACCAGGCCAAGCTGGCACTAAAGTGACAGAGATTGCCCAGTGTGCTGCTGAAAGCCATGGTTACAAAGATATTTGCGTGGGTACTGGTCTATTGTGTATACCATGGTTAATGTTTTTAGGTTTGTAACAAGACTGTTAATCAGATTTGAAAACAGGTTTGAATTGTAGTTGAAGATAGGCCTTCAGTTTTCAATCTCTGCTCTTTCTGTAAACATTATTATGTTAGCATATTGTTTGCTACTTTTCTTCATAAACCTTGTCTTGATTAGTATAACACTTTAATTACAGTTACAACAGATAATAGATATTCATAAAAACCTGTCAAAATGTGTGTTTGTGTTTCTTATCAGGGCTGTCCACCACTCACACATTCCCTTCTGTACATACCCAAGATGGCTGCCACATCGAGTTGTTTTAATCTTTTTTTAATTATAGTTTTTGACGCAAAATAAGCTATTGAGACGTACGCTAATCTGTAATCCCTCAAAACAATGACATAATCTAAATGAGCATCAGGCTCTCCAAACACCGGGGTTTTAGAGGGACTGGCTCTGGGCCCCTAAACCGGTCTAAGGAGATCAGCAGTCACTCCAGCTCTGTCATATCCAGTCAGAGATTAAAGCGCTTGTAGTGGCTTTTCTATTGTTTGACTGCAGATTTTTAATTGTTTTAATTGTTTGTGTTCCAATTGTAGTTGGAAAGGGAGAAATATTTAACCTTTTATAACGATGTACAATAGGTCTTTGATTGGCTTGTATGATGGATGTCCCGTATATTTGGCATAAGAGAACCTTTATTTGTCACGGAGTTATTCTGCGTCACAGTGCACATACAAGACAGTGGTAAGAGCACACAACATGTACAGAACATATACATATTAAATATCTATATAATGTATGTAATGTAAAGTGTATAATGGAAGAATAACGTAGATAAAGTGACATTTAGTGGTTGCAGTATTTACATACAGTATGAGATGACATGTACTGGCTTTGGACATTAAATACTTTAATGGTTGAATGATACGTGATTAGTGTGGGTTTATTACAAAGTTAAGTGCCCCAGCTTTAATTCTGAGGTTGCCATGTTTGTTCTGAAAATAACTAGTTAAAAAAAAACAGTCTCACATACGAGTTATATGAATATCTAATATCCGTATCTAAAGATGTGACAAAAAACAAATGCTTTGGAACTGTTTGAGAGCAAGGAACGAGGTACATGGTTTTTAATACATAGTGAGATTTTAATTTGAGGTGTTTTTTGCCGTTTACTGCAGGTTTTAGCCGACGCTGTGTCTCGTTTGGTGGTGGACAAATTCAGTGAACTCACAGACAACTTCACATCTCCACACGCGCGCAGGAAAGTTCTGGCCGGAGTCGTGATGACCACAGGTACCAGCAACAAGAGCTCATAGACCATGCGTTAGATTTCTCATTATTATTCACTTACTTATCACAATCTACTGAAACTAAAATAATGATTACAGAGAAGTAATGATAGTGATACATCTTCATCTGTATTGCACCGTCAGCAAAAAACAATAGTCTTTATTGTTATTAAATATAAATAATATAGGAAAATAAAGCAATCATTGATAATAAATAAGTGTCTTGCAGTTGGACACTTCAGCCACAGCCATATGTGTAATAAGCCACTATTTAACATAGACTGTGTGTGTATTTAATCATTTGTGCTACTTCTGTTCAAAATATTTTCAATAGTTGGGCTTTGCATGCTCATACGGGAAAATAAAGTAGGGTATAATACTATTTTCTATATCCAGGGTGATATTGGGTTGTTGTAACAATGACTTTGTATGGATCCTAGCTGAAAGCTTTGCAACCAGCTCTTCTTCCTTTCGTCAAAAGGCTCAAGAACAATAATTGTAATTGTCAAGTGGACTTGTACATGTCAAACTTTGCAATCATATTTTCCACAATGACAAAAAAATATTCATCTATCCACCATTTTAATTGTTTTATCCCTCTCTCACTATATTCAATGATAATTGTTAAAATTGTTAAAATTAAAATGTAATCCAGTCTCAGTAGTAATATCTACTAAATATGTCACAATATTTAAACATCAAGCATTGGGATTTACTGTGTATTTTCAAAACGTATCAACTCGTCTTTGATAAGTTTTACCTATATATTTAATTTATATTATACATTTTTTTGCAAATTTCTCCAAGTTTTAGATGTAGAAGATTCAATAAGACCAAATACTACTTAATCCCTTTTTATTTTCTTAACACATGCTTTCTAATGACATAGATCAGAGGTGTCCAAACCGGTCCAGAAAGGGCCACTGTGGCTGCAAGGTTTCTATCAGACCCAGCAGGAGCAGAGAAGACTCCAACCAGCCATTTCATCAAATCTTCAGGTTAAGACTGAACTCACTTGAGGAAATGGGCGGAGTCTGCGCTGCTCCTGCTGGGTCTGATAGAAAACCTGCAGCCACAGTGGCCCTTTCTGGACCAGTTTGGACACCTCTGACATAGATAAATAGGAATATTGCTTTACTTGGATTATGTGGCTGTCATTGTACTTGCGTCAGTGGCGTTTCGATATGATAAATTCTTGAGCCCTGCTGTGGTGTTGTAGGCACGGACGTGAAGGAGGCTCAGGTGATCTGCGTCTCCACTGGGACGAAGTGCATAAACGGGGAGTACATGTCGGACCGGGGCCTGGCGCTGAATGACTGCCACGCCGAGATCGTGGCCCGAAGATCGCTCCTCAGATACCTGTATGCACAGCTGGAGCACTTCCTCAGGTCTGTGGGAAAAACTGTTCCGTCTCTCTAAGTATTACACATGCTACTGTATTCCTGTGTTACTTCATGCATTTCAATACATTTTGGGAGAATCTTTCAGCATTCAATGGCATTTATAGACATCGATTAAAATGTATGGACGTTAGTCATCTGCCCCTTACAGACCGTATCATTGCATTTCCTGTGTTGGAACTGTTAGATTTGCAGATCAGTGTCGTTGAATCAACTTTGTGAAGTCCTCCGAGATAACTACTGTTGTGATTTAGGGCTATACAAAAATGCATTTAATTTAATTGAACATTGCTATGATGCCCTCTGCTTTCATTCTTTAAATTCAGACACATTAAGGTTCCTTATAAAACATAAAAAAACAACTTGAAAACATAGAATATATCAACATTAGAGTTTCCCCGTCTCAGAGGACAGGAAATAACAGATTATCCAGGATCACAGGATGATACAAGGACATGCATTTATGTGATTGTAACCTTTGCACAGGTAATTGTATCGGTGATGACTTTCATTTACTGTTTGAGTGCTTGAATAATGAAGTGGGTGCATACAGAAACAGACTTACTTGTGCACTTTAGCAAAATGGAAGCCACAGAATCATTTGTAAACTTTGCATTTTGAAAAAGCGACCATTGTTTGTTCTTCCATATCCATACTATATACAGTATGGGGTTATGAGCAAGAAAGACAGAGGGACCTGGTGAGAGATTGATGGAGACATCCAGAGGCTTCCAGGCACTTCCTGTTTTTACCCATAGGTGGTCGTCAAAACACCATGCATTCTCCACTTCTTCATTGATCTAACTTCTATAAAGAGCAACAGCACCTTTGTGTCTTTGCCATCAGCTTTCCTTAGACTCAGGCAGATGTTAAGCCTTATTGTAATATATATATTCAGTCTTTATCAAACTTGAGTATGAGTCTGATCATTCCATTCATTATCAGCCCTAACCCAAGTCAAGCCAGAAAGATAAGTTATCACATCTTCACTTTTAGATTGTAAATACTATGGAGCTGAATGTACCTTTTCTCATTCACGGCTTAGCTGAGGGTTGTTCATTTCACTGAGCATTCACCCCCCAAACATTACACTATGAGAAGCTGTTATTCAGGGTTAGAGTTCTCTTCATAGACTCACATTAATCTGTGAGGCATACCTGGTGACAGCAGAGAATGCTTTATGAATGTCAGACGGAAAAAGGCTAAACTGTGCAGACTGACTGATTTCTACTGCCTGTCCATTTATGAAAATAACAGTCTGAGCCCGCTCAATTACATAGATTGTATATAGGAATGGACAATGCTAACCTGCTAGCGCTACAAAACCTTCCTTAAGTTTTTCTCCAATCGTTTTGGCTCTCACAAAAGTAAACTCTGTCACACCATTTTGGGCTTAAAGAATAAAGGTTTTTTTATGCATACCTCATTACTTGTTTATGACCTATCTGGACCATATGCCAAAGCAAATTCCTAGTTTATGCCTTATGTGTTACTTACAATGGCAATGAAAATAATTCTGCTTCTTATTCTAGTAACTCAAGGGCATTCCGTCCTCAAATCCAGCTTCAGCTCGCAAACAGCACCACTCCTGATTGGCTCTTTGGTTGCTAGGAGGTTGCTACCCGTGAATTTGACTCCAATTTCCAAGCCTGTTAAGGTTTATTTTTCTCACCACTCGGTTAGTCCACTCCTTCTACAGTCTGTGCTTGTTTTTAAGCAGTGAGAAGGTAGTCTGTATTCAGTGCGTGCTGTTATTTCTGGTACCAGCAGCACTCTCTAGTTTACATTCGTCTCCCGCTCATCTCATATTTGGCCCCTTCATCATTTACTTGGGGATTAGAGTTTACTGTTGAGAACGAAAATAAGCTGCTCCAGCGCTGACAGAGCTCTGACATTAATCGTCCAGTATGAGTGTGATCAGAGAGCGAATGCATCAGCAGAGGGCCTCGTTGATGGTCACATTTGAACCAGACTGCTGCCAGAGCTCTAGGACCATGACACAGACTTGTTGTTGTCATGGTCACTTGTCGTTCTTGTGTTGAAAGCTCTTTAATGTTGGCCGGGTATGAATGCCTTTTGGAATTTGGAACGGCGTTAGTGCAATATGGGATCACATGTATCCACTCTCACTTTACTCACTTTACTGAGTCACTGTTAGCCCATACAATCATGCTGCTAACATGTACTGCAGTATCACATGCTGCTAACATGTACAGTAGTGTCACATGCTGCTAACGTGTACAGTAGTGTCACATGCTGCTAACGTGTACAGTAGTGTCACATGCTGCTAACGTGTACAGTAGTGTCACATGCTGCTAACGTGTACAGTAGTGTCACATGCTGCTAACGTGTACAGTACAGTAGTGTCACATGCTGCTAACGTGTACAGTAGTGTCACATGCTGCTAACGTGTACAGTAGTGTCACATGCTGCTAACGTGTACAGTAGTGTCACATGCTGCTAACGTGTACAGTAGTGTCACATGCTGCTAACATGTACAGTACAGTAGTGTCACATGCTGCTAACGTGTACAATAGTGAACAGTGGTTATTGACTTATTACCCCAATATTCTTGCACTAGTGTTTGACCAATGTATACATACAAGGAAATGTTTCTTGTGCTAGAGGATGCTGTCTTTTATACTTGATTCTCTATTAAGATAAAAATTGTTATTTTATTCTAGTTTATTTTGAAAGTGTAGAGTTGTGCCTTATAGCAAATAAACAATATCTTCTTCTTAATCATATGGAATTGGTTCAAATTGATTGTTTTTGCTCTTGCCCTTGCAGTAATTCAGATGACGAGCACCAAAAGTCTATATTCACGCGGTGCGACAGGACCGGGTTTGCGCTCAAAGAGAACGTACAGTTCCACCTGTACATCAGCACGTCGCCCTGTGGAGACGCCCGCATCTTCTCCCCCCACGAGGCCGGAGTGGAAGGTCCGACTGCTCCCAAAGATCTATTACCAGAACCACAGTAAAGATCATTCCACTCATGTGTTTCCTCCGCTGGCGTTTCAGACCAGGGCGACCGGCACCCAAACAGGAAAGCCCGTGGGCAGCTGAGGACCAAGATCGAGTCTGGGGAGGGGACCATCCCAGTGAGGTCCAGCAACACCATCCAGACCTGGGACGGAGTTCTGCAGGGAGAGAGGCTACTCACCATGTCCTGCAGTGACAAGATCGCCAGGTACAAGCAGCTGCTGGCTTCATATTGTGTAACAGTAACAGTGTTGAAGCTTGTCCTCAAGAGACATAACTATGAGCATGAGAGAACCACAACTTGCCTTGTTCAATTGGATTTGATTCAACAAGACACATGTAAGCGTGTGCTCTCTGATGGAGGTTGTAATAGGAAACCAGATACTATTGTAATGAGGTCAGTAGATGCATTTAAGAGCACAGGGGAAAACCCTGCTTGTATAAGGTGCATTTTAGGCCACTCCCTCATTCTAATTACACAGTCACTCATGTTCATTGTTTGGTTTTGGTTTCATAAAAAAAAAAGAAAAAAAAAAAGCAGGAAACATGGTGTGTATAAGTGCACTGTGGATATAAAATGGCTTGTGCTTCTGCTGCTGAGTGTAGAAAAGCCTGTGTAATACTCAAAGTAAGTCTTAGTGCGGAGGCAGTGCGGAGGCAAAGCGTCGAAGGTTCCATCTCCTCAGACTGGGGTCAGACCGGTTTGGGAGCAACGCTGAGTAAAATCTGTTTTTATTTGTTTACTCTGTATAAACGTAGTCTGCATGAAAACATCCAGAATGCATGTATCTGAAATTGCAAAATAGGTCCATATACGACAAAATGTCTATCGACTATGTTCTTTTCTCTAATTGGTCGCCTCCTGAAAGCGTCTCTGTGCTTTCAGGTGGAACGTAGTGGGCTTCCAGGGCTCTCTTATGAGCTACTTCACGGAGCCCATCTACTTCTCCAGTATCATCCTGGGCAGTCTGTACCACGCAGACCACCTGTCCAGAGCCATGTACCAGCGCATCACGGAGATCGAGGAGCTGCCCCAGTGCTTCAACCTCAACCGGCCTCTGCTCAGCGGTCAGCACCACACTCAACAGATGCAACAGTTTATTTGCCATTTGCTGTTGAACCACATTGGAAAACCTGTGTAGAAGTACCCCAGTGTGCCCCAGACACGTACCAGACTTGTTAGCTAAAAAAGGACAAGAAACAATTGTCACTTTGAAATCAATCAACAGAATCAGTTTAAATAACCATTATATAATCCTTAAAGTGCATTGTTCCAACTGATAACGACTTGTGGAATGAAGCTGTTAGAATATGGAGATGTCCTGCATCTCAGCAAACGAAGAAGAATCATTGATTGGTTTAAAAGTCTGGATTAATAAAAAACCTAAAGAATAGGCAGCCACAGCTGAGCACTTTGTTTAGAGCTCTCCTAAGCAAGGTATCATTCATTATGTACTGTACTGGACACAAGCCTGGGCTCACGAGAATGAGACAAAACAAGATTTCAAAGGGAGAAATTGCGCTTTAGACTGTAAATTGTACTGATTTTACAAGGCCTTGCTTATTTACCTTATTTACCAACATAATTTCATTAATTAAATTGTACTTGTAGTGTGCTGTGAATAACTAATACACCTTTACTCTATTCTAAAACGGGAGTTGCTTCAGTCCTGACCACACCTATCCTCGTCCTGTATCTATAGCCCGTCCGTCCGTGTGGAGAGGATCCCTCTCAACTGTCAACTGTCGATTCTCTGATCCGTGATGACTAATTCAACGGTTTTCCTCTGAGATGACTACTGTTGTGATTTAGGGCTATACAAGAATTAATTTAATTTAATTAATATATGTTAAAACAACATTTACCACAATCTCTGGTATCTTTGCTTGTTGTGCATGCTGCTCCATCAAAATCTGGAAATGTGTTTAGTGTGCTCTACACCCTTAAAGGAGCTATACCCGTTTCTGCAATGTTTGATTGTTTAGCACCGCCCCTCTACTCGCTCACAGGCTTCTCATTAACCCTACGCTCTCATCCCACAGAGCCATCTAATTTTATTTGCAATCTGATACGTATGCAAGCGGGCATAACGCTAAGTTTCTACTCAGCACTTTTTACGACCTGAATTCATACACAAGCTGAATCAATGAACTCAAGTTTCCAATTAAATTACGGATTATAATACAACTTGTATGTAGTAATAAGCATTTTTATGAGCTCATAAAAAAAAAATCGGGTATAGCTTCTCTCACAAATCGGAACAAGCACAGCCCCCTGCCTCTTATGTCCAAATTCAATTTTTGCTGGGACTATAATGACAAAGGAAGCAATTTTATCTCCAGTAAAATGAAATACTTTACAACTGCATCCCTTCATTACATAGAACTTGAATTAGCAGAAGGATGTAATTTTCCAACTTCTACCTCTAGAAGGAGCTGTGTTTCTAATTCAGAACGTTAATCTATCCATGTTTATCCATATATTAAATGTTATACTTTTTAGTCCCACATGGGGAAACTACATCGTCATACTTCTAAAACAAGCTTTTTTTTAAGATACAAAATTTACCAAAATAATATAATGGGGTTAACGCTGCTTCCTTGGAATTTCCTTTATACAAAGTTCTTACAAATCATAGGAATGAAAGTGTATGGACTAATACACTACTAATAATAATTATTTAATTGAATGTTGTTTAAGATCGGAGACTCAGTGTTTGTATTTGGTCCCAGGTATCAGTAACGCAGAGGCGCGTCAGCCCGGGAAAGCCCCAAACTTCAGCGTGAACTGGGCTGTGGGAGACCAAGCGCTGGAGGTCATCAACGCCACCACAGGGAAGGACGACCTGGGACGGCCCTCTCGCCTCTGCAAGCATGCCCTGTACAGCCGCTGGATGAGACTGCATGGGAAGGTGAGCACACATGCAGATTCGAACATGACAAGACAAAGTAAATAGTCTCATTATCATTTTGAATAGCACAAAAGTAATGCATCATATTTCTTCTTCAAATCTTGCACATGTAATTTCCTACATGTAATTTCCACAGCTAGGCGGCAGTGCTGCAGCAGCATTTTCTTGAATCATGGATCACTTCTGATGCGTTTCATTCCTCCGCAGCTTTCGCCCACTCTCCGCATCCGGACGATTCGCCCCAGCAGCTACCACGAGGCCAAGCAAGCGGCAGCGGAGTACCACTCAGCCAAACAGACTCTCTTCAAGGCTTTCCAGAAGGCCGGGCTAGGGGCCTGGGTCAAAAAGCCAATAGAGCAAGACCAGTTCGCCCTGACCACCTGAGCCCCGCGCTGCCCCCTTATGGTCAGCCGCTGCATCGACTGTTGTCTGTCAGGAGCGCCTCCTGCGTTCAGCTTTGTGGAGAAATCCGAAGAATTGTGATGTCAAAAACACAGAAAAAAACAAACATTCCCCTTAATTTTCTAGCCAGCATCCCCTACATACATCTAAGTCTGTTATGCAACTTTATATAAAACGGACATTGTACAGTACAGAGTTTTTCGGGAATGAGTCCCCAGCCGCGTAAGCTCTAAGTTTCTATCCAGTTTTTTTGCATGTTTTAACAATACCAAAACTGCGTCCAATTTGGTATAACTGTATTGTGCTACCAGTGTTGTTTCCAAATACAAAGTTCAGAATGTGCTTTTGCGAATTTGTACAAACTCGCAAATTCTTATTTTTTTGTCAAAGTTATGTGACAGATGCACATGCAGCTAACCCTCCACTGTCCGGGAAGTCTATCTGTTTTTGACGTACACTCACAAATGAACATGAAGGCGGCGGTTCAAAGCGATGAGGCGAGAAATGACAAATTATAATTTTCATTCAGGGTTTTTGTGTGTCAACTGCCAATCTGCAAACAGACACTTTCTTTCTCGTGATTAGTTTAGCTAGTTTTTAGAATTTTAACATTGTCCAGGAAATTTATTTTTTGATTGGACAGAATTGCAATAATGTTTCGCTCGGTTGCACAAGAATATAGGTCCAGTATTGTCCAACCTTGCCTTGTTTATGCATTACATCTTAGTAAGGAGAAATCATGATGAAATTTTAGCACTTTTGATTCCAGTCGGATGTTAAATGAAGATAGCGCGCCTAGAGTTGAAATAAAGTCATTTTAGTTGACAATTTAGCTAGTTTTTAAACTTTTTAAAGGGAAGATTTATGCCCAGAAGTAGTAGCATCTTGTAGTATGACGAAAGCCACGCATTTAGGATGTAGTTCAAATGCATTGTGGGAAATGCAGTTTTGGCTTATAGCTTGAGTGCATGGCCGTGCATGGGGATGGCAGCTCAGTCACCTGTAGCGATAGAAAAAAATCTGAATTGAGACTTTTGTAGCTGCAGAATTTGAGGTGTTCAAAAAGGGAAATTTAAGTGGAAACTGGATCATCGCAGCTGGTAGTGTACATTTCTGCTGTTTTTGATAATCACCACAATGACGTCAGCTGCAACAGAGCTTCAATGCAATTGTGAACAACCATCCATGCTCTTCTGCTGGGGCAGCAGTCTGAGCAGAGAAGCACAGACTTCCCTCTCCACACACTTGCTCCTGCTCATTCAGGGGATTCTCGAGGCGTTCCCAAGCCAGCTGAGAGACATGGTCACTCCAGCATGTTCTGGGTCTCCCCCTAATCTCCCTAGAAGATTCCCGGGGCAGCTGGCTCCTCTCCACGTGGAGAAGCAGCGGCTCTACTCTGAGCTCCTCTTGTGTGAGCATGCTCCTCATCCTATATCTAAGGCAGCCGCTCTGTAGAGGAAACTCATGTGGGCCGCTTGTATCCGCGATCTCGTCCTTTTGGTCATTACTCAAAGCTCATGACATAGTTGTGACCTGCTCAAATCATAGTTGTGACCTGCAAAATAATTGTAAATGGCAAAATATGAACTTGGATATCAGTAATCATTATACCATAGGCCTGTTGAATGCTCTGCCTCCAGCACCACCTTATTTTCTGTTATGGTTTACAGCTGAAATCCTCATGTGTTCACTCTGAGCGCTGTGGTCCGATTTGTACACGATATTTTACCTTTGCCAGTCTCTTTCTGTGAGATAGAAAGTACCCCAGCTTTGATTTAAAGAATGCAAACAGCTGAAAACAAGATGGACTTTTTCCCATCATTAAAGTCAGTTTCTCAAAATTGGTCAAAATGAAAACCTGTTGGACTTCAACAACTGCATAGAAGCTCTGTTTCCTGTGTCATTGCTTAATGTCTGATAACCCGTCCGTCCAATGTCAAATCAGCTCCCTTTAACGCTCCGATGTCCTCCTCTTGTAAAATATGACCAAACTTTTCAATCACTTTGTTGCATGTAAAAAAAAGAGAAAAAAAATCAAGCGAATGGGCGATTTTGTGTCAAAAACAGTTGCACTATAACCTTAAGGTTTAGGGTGGCAAAACTTTATGCAAAGAAATGTAAGATTTGTGTGAGAGTATGCAACAGGGCCTTTTGAAGAGCATTTAAACCAGCTAACGTTTTTATTTGTCATGTTTTGAATCATGTTGGAGAAGCTCACCAAAGAAATAACGTCTACATTTACCATGCTTTGTCCTGTGTGGAATATTGTGTCTCAGAATACAACTCCAATGCTCAAATGAATGGTTTTTGTATGTGTGAGTTCCACTGTTTCTGCAAATCCTTGATACAGAAATGTCAGTTTTTAAATAATTTAAAACCGGTTTCAGTTGTATGTAAAATATGTATTGTTTTTGGCCTTTTATAATGTCTTAAAAGTGAATTGGTATGAGGTTGGGACATGGAAGCTAAGAAGAAAGAAATTTGTCAGATTTTTTTTTGCCATGACTGCACCTCTACACTAAAAGTTATGCAGATGGTTAATTGCTTAACAGCACTGCATTTTGTGGGCAAGCATTGATGTAGCTTGCCTGCTATTGCTGAGACAATTGTTTTAATTTACTGTCTTTGACATAAATTACGACTAAGCCTGATTGAGGCTAACATTAGTGACTGTTTCTAGCATTGAGTAGCCTAGGGGTCTCCAAGCCAGTCCAGAAAGGCCCGCTGTGGCTACAGGTTTTAGAGCAAAGCAGACACTACCCGTTTCCTCAAATCTTCAGGTTAAGACCATTGATCTATGATAGTATCTGGATTGTGTACAACTAGTTATAAGCTAGTTGTACACATGGGCGCTACGGTCTAAATAAGAATAAATTCATATGGGCTACCCAGAAATGTTCCCCATAGAACTCAATGTAAACTAAAACAGCTCGACCTCAGATGACAGAGAACCTACAGCTTTCATAAAGGTCGGATTTTGTGGGGATTTTAGTGTCCCTTGTCATCCTGATCTCTTTTTCTTGTTAGATCCATTGGTTTGTTTTACAATTCACACTTTAGTGTAACAGACGCTCTATTTTTTTCCTGTTCTGATAAACAGTGCCTGATTGGTCAGAAAGCGGCCGTGCTTCTCTGTGCTTGTTCAAGAGGTTGGCCACTGCCCAGAGAAATGCCCAAATATGAGCTAATCTTTTTTTGCCCATTGTGGTACATGCGCGACTGAGCACAAGCCATTGATTTTAATATGCTGCCACCTTGGGGGCCCCTCGCCGGGGCTTGGTTAAGGCTGAACTCACTTGAGGAAATGGGTGGAGTCTGCTCTTCTCTGCTGGGTCTGATCAAAAATGTCTGGACCGGTTAAGACATCCCTGCTGTAGCCCAATGCTAATAGTTTCAGGCAACACAATTTGGGACCAAGTTCACAAACACTGCTAATTTAATGGCAACTGATGAAATCATGTTTACAATTGTAATTCCTCTCAATCACCGTCTTACAAATCCTTTTAACAACTTGATTATGTGTTTGAATCATTTACAAAGATTTCAACGACTTGCAGAAACCTCCATCCTGTCAGTTCTTTGTAATCTCTTGCTTGTAACCGTTTGAAACCTCCATAATTGTACAAAGTTATATTTTTTAAACATTTTCCTTTGTGTAAAACTATTGTTTTAGACTCTCCATTGGATTCCTTTGGCTTGTGCATGCATGCGCGTGCAAGTGTGTGTGTGTGTTTGTGTGTGGGGGTGTGTGTGTGTGTGTTGTGTGCATACGAGGGTCCCGTGTTTGAACTCAGAACTTTTTACATTCAGGAACAGTGTTTGGGGCTTTGAAATGAAATGGGAGGTTTTTCAGTCCGTCTCTTATCTGTTGTATTTACAGTTTTTTGGGTTTTTTTCCTGAATGGCTCATGCAAAAGATATATTTTGATTTTTGTTGGTCCCAGATATTCTAATTATTCTGACTAAAGCAGGTGTGGGGCCCTAATGCATGAGCTCTCCTGTAAAGCATGTTATAAATATGTAGAAAAAGTCACGTCACTGATCTAGAAAAGTTTAATAAATACTCTAACTGTTGCTGGCTCTCGACTCTTTTCTGCATTCGACAGTTTTAAATTTTTTTTAATTTTTAATTTTTATTTATTCATTTATTTGACAGGGACAATGTAGTCATACATAGTTACATTATAAAAATGCAGCTGATGCGACACATACAGAGTGTACAGTATAGCTAATGCTAATTTTCAACTCCTGTCCCTGGTTGAGCTTTTCCCTACAGTGCAACACATTATACAGAATGAATAAAATAGGCCTAGCCCTAAAACACATATTTACAACAGTGATCTAAAATTAAGACATTCCCCCAACCAATAACAGCCATATGGGCAAAATATTCACAAACGAGAACACTCTCACACACACACAAACACAAAATACTGTTTACAGGTTTAGAAATGGGTGCATGATTGGTTTGTTTTCAGCCACAGCTCCAATATACGGTATAACTTTCTACAGTTGTCTGACATAGTTTTGTGATCCCAATTTGTAAATCACAAAGATCATAATTAAATGAAAAAAATAGTAAATTTAGGAAAAGTATCTGTGGTCTCTCTGTTCCCTTTCTAGTCTATGTTTTCTATGGTCTGTCTGGTCGATTGGTCTCATGTCTCTCTTGTCACTGCTCTCTCTCTCTGGTCTCGTTGGTCTGGTACATTATCTCTCTCTTTGGTCTCTCTCGGATCAATCTCTGGTCTCTCTCCGTCATTTGCTCTATGTATTTTGAAAGCTACTCTTGTTTTTTCTGTCAACTTTTTCCACATTTTCCTATTCCTTCTCCCTCATTTCCCCTCCGCACTCGATCACTCCGCTGCCATTTTCTTTGACAGTGACGTGCTGATGACAAAATTGTTGTAGAGTAAACCGTGCGTCCTCTGCTCTTTCTCTGCGCATCAGGCACAAATCTCACCCACAATTTCCCCAACTTAATACTTCCATCTGCAGCTGTTTGAACCGTATCGGCCCCTGCACCTGGATGAGAAGGATTAGGGCCCACAAAGAGGAGGCACCATTAGCTGACAGAGTTTTGCCAACACAAGCTGAAAGTGCAGATTAAGATTTCAGCGTGCAGAAAATGTGGATATAAAAGCTGTGTATGTTGGCTGAGGGATTGGGAAAAGGCTTGTAAGTAAGCAAAACGTACAACTGTGGACTGAACATATTCTTCATAGACTTTTTTTTCATTGATGTGTCTTGAATTAAAACTACAAGTGATTATAAGGCTTAAACAATGACCAGAAGTGCAGACTATAGTCTCGTTTCACACCAGCCGGCGCTACTCTACTCGGCTCTATTTTCTCTCAGCAAGAAGGTCCTGGGTTCGAATCCCGGCCGGACCAGGGCCTTTCTGAGTGGAGTTTGCATGTTCTCCCCGTGTCTGCGTAGGTTTCCTCCGGGTACTCCGGTTTCCCCTACCACTAAAAATATGTACAATAGGTCTGGCATGCGCCTCCTGTTCGGCGACCCCGCTCCCATCTCTGTGTGGAGTGAGAGGACAAGTGCCCAAAAAATAACAATTGTAAACCGCTTTGTGACTCTGGTCTGTGAAAGGCGGTATATAAATAAAGCTTACTTACTTACTTACTTACAATCTTCAAGATTTTCAACATTAATGGCAAAATACTAAAAGGCAAACTAGGCTTGTATACTATATATTTATGGCAATTAATTTTCTTTGCGTGAGTCGAGCATTGTCCTAATATTAGTAAAAATAGGTCGTCAAATTGTAGACCCCCATACTGTGATAGTTGTAATACGATCGTTACTGAGAATAACGAGTAAGTATGGATGGATTGTGCACTTTTCAATTGACAATTTTGCATTTTTACGTTTCACAAACATGTAATGATTCCCACATGTGCGTTTTCCTTCACGCCAGACTGAAAACGTTGATAGTATTGACCCAGTTTTGTGAGACTTTTGGTCCATGACTGGCTTTGCAACACTTGCTCAAATACAAATCTAGAAATATGGCATTTTAGCTCATTTGTGTCCCTCTTAGGCTACTGTACAGCCAGTTTAAGGCTCATCAAGCGACTAATGGACTTTGATTGAATAAACGAGCCGTATCCAATGAGAGGGGAACTTCAGCACCATGGACAGCGGCATGGGCAAACACACTGGAAACATTTATTCAGTTGGGGTCAAATGGAGTGGCATGAAGATGGATTAATAGTGGATAAAATATGATGAAGAAATTCAAAGTAGTTATAGCCATCTGAGCAACTTGTACAGAAGGTTTTTTAAAACGCATGTATGAGGACTGAAGAGAGACCAGAGAGAGAAACAAGGTAGAGAGAGGAGACCAGAGAAAGAGAGATACCAGAGAGAGCGAAAGACAGAGAGAGAAACCAGAGAGGGGGGAGTATAGAGAGGGCGAGAATAGAGAGACCAGAGAAAATTCCAAATGTTTTAAAATAGATTGGTTTGAAACTTACTTTCAAAACAATCAAAGTAATCCATTCTGGTTTTGAGCCGTTTGTGGATAATATACATTATTTGGAAGCCACTAGAATGTTCTCCCTTTGACCATTGGCTGATTAGTTTATTGAAAGTAAAATTACCAAAGTAACCTCAAATCGTGCATATTTGTTCAGCTGGAACCAAGTTGCTCTTGAGCAGAATCTGAAGAGTCAACCCGTTAGACAAGAGTCCACTCATCGCATGCCCGTTGCTTTCCCGTGCCTTTTACACGCCGTCCCTTGTCGCTCTCACTCGGAGACATCACAGCAGTAGAGCCTAAACGCCGCTCTGTGGAATGGACCATAATCTAGTCTCATAAATCTGTCTCCAAACAGGTCAGCGACGCCCGCGGCTGCGCTCAAGGCCACACTCTCCATTTTCTGCTCCGGGGACTTGACAAATGCACCGCAGAGTTCGGTCCATCCGCGGGGGAAATGACAAGTAGAGGAGAGGAGAGGAGAGGAGAGGAGAGGAGATGGGCCCGCGGGTAATTTAGGTTGTTCTGGGCTGAGGTTGCATGGGACACAGGTGAAGGCACTTTTTATGTTAGTGTCGAGATGCAGGCAGCTAAACACCATCACTTTGTTGACCTAAAAGATAAATATCACCACAAACTAATGATTTCATGTTGATTAATTGATATAAAACACATTTTGTCCAAGAGGTTTTGACCACAGAGAAAGACCAGAGAGGAACAAGAGAGAGACCAGAGAGGGATGAGAGACCTTGAGAGAGAGAGAGACTAGAGAAAGAGAGACCGGAGGTAGAGATCAGACAGAGAACACTTACTTGTATGTGAAAACAAAGAAGATTTTGATTTTATGCATCTCAATTCGTCATTTCTCAATAAAAATGTTTTTGAAGCCAGAGTGTTTCGGCCATGAAGGCATCAAACCTCAAACTGTCCTTTTCCATAGGTACTCTGTTCACAAAGCCAAACACAAACACATATCCTGTGCGTTTCCTCACCTCGCTGCAGCCTAACGTGGTTTGTCCTCTAAAAGTCTTTGTCATAAATGTTTAAACCGAGAATGACTTGAGTTGGTTTCTACTCTATACAGCCTTCACTCAGCATCCATCAGCCTGTATCAACAGTGGCCCACGTATCCTTGTATCGCACATAATTGACATTAGCATTTAGATGTGACTGTGACCTTTTCGACCATCGTCAGCGCAGACAGGAAGGATTCAAGATAATACTGTTGTAATCTGTTGTATTCGGAGCAGAATCACCATGCAGTGTCATATATGCATGTCTAGGGTGACAAGGGACTTCTGTGTGCGTATTTTTTTAGTAAAGTGTAAGACAGTATATTACGTGCTCCCCTTATTTGCAATCCATTTCAAAATATTTTTAACTTTTTCACCCAACTCCTGTAACCAAGCCAGCATCCATATGTGTACTATTCAAAACTTCAACCACTTTTTTCCCTTCATATTCTACTTTAATGCTGTAATGCATTTGGGGCAACACTCAAAAACAATATTTAACTCTTTTTACTACATTACATTTGTTTTTATCCAGTTGATTCAGCTTATCATATCATTCAAACTTGATCAAAGCCAATTTAAACTTCTTTATCACTGTAACCTTTTCTTACATGCATTCTTCGATCCCTGCTTGACTCTCTGTGTCATAGATAAGTTTAATTATCACCAAAACAAGTAGCAAAGAAGTCAACAAGTAGCTTTCAAGCAAACCTTGTACTGATTAATTATATTACATATGGAGAGAAGAAATTCAGTGAGAGCGTCCTGGAATTAGGCTCCAAGATGTATGGTAAAATTGTAATGTTAAGGTAGATTAACTGAATTTTAAGCTCAATACTAAATGGTGTGCATACATATTAAATCAACATAATTAGAGTAAGTACCACAGAAAAAAACTGTGTGCGGTTGTATGTCGCCATCTGCTGGTGAAGTTGTGTAAATGCGAAAGGGACCTAATCAAGTAGTTTAGGAGGCTAAAAGCAGTGTAAAATGGGAAAATGTGTTATATTACTTAATAATATCTAAAATAAACTCCAATATCTTCTAAACGTTTTGGTGAAAAATAATTTAAGAGAATAGTGTTTAATGACGTATTGGCGGTCTGTTTGAAAACCCGGAAGTATTGCATTGTTTTGCTCTGGTCGCCCGAAGTCGTGTTAGAAACAAGTTAAGATTATCCTTTTATTTTAATGCAAAGTATTTCGAAAAATAGCTTGACTGAACAAGACGAGATAAAGGTCCATCTTTTACCTCGGTCCAGACCTACAAGTCTGTGTAAACATCTCAAAATTGTAAGAATAAGTGCTTATGCTAAGTGAGGAGCTATTGCTAATATAGATTCATAAGTCCATTTAGCATCTGCTGTCTGTTAAACGAGCTTCGTATTTGTGTTTTAAATGTCAAATGTCCGTAGCAATGTGTAAATGTACACTTTTTTTCCCTGCAGATTTTGTGGAACAATGCATCAGGTGAGGATGCAGAAACGTTTATTCTCTGGTCTCTCTCATGTCCCGCTTAGTTCTCCCTTTCTGGTCTCTCTCAAGTTTCATAAAATATTATCTACAACGAACTGACAACCAGTACGAGCTCAGCGCACTTGCACAGTCCATTGTGGGGAGAGACTTGGGATGTGACTTCAGGAAAAAATAAGAAAATACCAAACATAAATAATTTAAAACAGTGGACAGTGGAAAACAATACCAAAAAATTACTGCACGTCCTTGGATGAATGAAATACATTGAATGTTTTGCAAATCCAATATACATAACAATGTTAGATAGGAATTCTAAACGGGAGAAAATTCCAGTCACTGTAATAGATCATAGATATAATGAACTTGTCATAGTTACTGCAGATTCAATTTTACTTGCATAATTTAGCAAGAATTGTGAATATTAATGAGGCTTTAATGTAGTGGTCAGGGTTTCCATTGATAGTTACGACTTTGGTGTTTTAACTAGGGCTAAAGGTTTGCAGTAGTAGTAATTTGAGGAAGTAATATATAATGATAAAAATTGCATAAACAGAAAAAAACTGGACCTTTCTTGGGCATGTTTTGATACATGTTAAACTATATCAGAAGATATAAGGTAGTCGCTACTACTACTGCTTCCACTACTGCTACTTGTTATTATTTATATTTACTAAATTAATTTCGGTTGAGAGAGTCTAACCTGTGAGCCCTGCCTGGGGCTGCCCTTTCATTCATTGGAGTGTTGTGCATATGGTAGTAGTAGTAGTAGTGGTAGTAGTTAAATTTAAGTAGTAGTAGTAGTTAATTTAACTTAAAGTAGTTAAAAGAAATAGCGACAGTAGGTGTAGTACTAGTAGTAACAGCAGCAGTTGCAGTAGCAGAAGGAGAAGGTGAATGAGGAATAGTAATAGTAGCTGGAGTATTAGTAGCTGCAGTAATAATAGTACCTGGAGGGAGTACAGGGCAGAGGCGGTGTCCTTGGAAACCTGAGCCTTTGTAGTTTGCCTTGGCGACACAGTTCAGATGAGTCTGTGGAGAAGAGCTTTACAGACACAAGATGGAAACCTGCAGGAATCCCACTGTTCACACTGGGAATAATAAGACTTATGTTTATCTCTGGACTTTCAAACAATTCCAGGTGTATTTTCAACATCAGAAAAACTTCTAATTCTATGAACAATGTGGAAATCTTTGAACTTGCTTTTACTTTGTAGCAGGAGCAAGTAGAATGGGACGACGTGAACAAACTTCTTCAGCATCACGGATTCAAACCAGTGCATTTTGCAGATCCAGTGGAGAATAAAAGTTTGTCTGGTAAGTATTAAGTATTGAGGAAAATATTTTGCCATTGAATTATAGTTCGTAATTAGCTGTTATTTAGTGATGGGCTAAACTAAAGTGTGACTCTTTTATTTGAAACTGAAATCTGTTCTTTTTTGTGCTTTCAACAATAATCCAACCTTGTCTCATCAAAAATAGTTTTATCTCCATCCACGCTCTAATCATGGACAGGAACACGTCCCTCCACTACTTACTGATTCCTTCTTATTCTGAAAGTATTGCCTTCTTGTTTAGTTTTGGCATTTATTCTGGTAAAATTAACACCCACATGTCTTCATTTTCAACATACAATGTTGAAACTATGAAGAACTTGTTCTATCTGCTAGTCAAAGTGGAAAGTTACATTCTATTATTATTATAAATTCTCAATCTGAGGAGCATTGTAAATGGCCATCATTTTTCACATACTATTTGACCAATTTGAATTGGTGCCAATTTCCTCTGTTTTAAATGCATTTATCTTGTATTCGTACTTGTATTAGTGGTGACATTATCTTGATGTTGCGTAGTGCAGGTTGGCCTCATGACTCTGTCCGTCCTCAGATCTGGTTTTGTTGGACAAGCGCTCAGCTGCAGAGGTCAGAGCAACGCTGAGAGTGATGCTGACAGACTCTGAGAGGAGACAGCAACTCATCCAGGAACTGATCCGGACCAACAGCCAACTCAAGTATGCACACACACACAGACACACACACACACACACAGACAGACGCAGAGAGAGAGCAGTGTCTCTCTCTCTCGGCTTCTCTCTTGCAGCGAGAGAGACGCAGAGAACTAGACATGCAGAGAGAGAGAGAAGCGCAGCAAGCACCACACAGAGAGAGGGACGGATACACACAGAGAGATATACACACACATGCGCAGAGAAAGACGTAGAGAGAGATACACACAAACAGACAGACACAAACACAGACAGACAGACACAAGCTGAGAGAGAGAGACATACAGAGAGCAAGACACAGAAAAACACAAATTTTATCCCCCGTAAATAGAGGAAAGTTGCTTACAAACCAATTTTGTAGCTAAACTTAGGCTACATCCCAATTCAGAAACACAAGCTTCCTTTCCTATCTTTCCTTCCTTCCTTCTTTCCTTTTTGTTATAGTTTAGTAGGTGAAAGGTTTAGTAAACTCAACCACTATTTTAATGCTACTTTGGTAAAATGTATTGAGCCATTTTTGGGACACATTCTCTAGAACTGAACCAAGTTAGTTAAAGTATACATTTGAAATAGTTTTAGGCAAATCAATAGTGTTTCCTTCGATAAACATGGACGTGGATCAGTTACAGTATTTCTGTCGTAACATGTATTTCAGTAATTTTTGAAAATAGTATTGCATTACCACGCTGTAAAGTATCAGGATAAAGATCAGCTGTAACCGTGTACACAGCCTAATGCGTGGAGATGGCTGTATGTTGTATGAATAATTAGTGAGTTGAGTGCAGACCACCTGTCAGTGTCACCCAACCGCCTCAGATACAAACTCAGAATACCATCACATCTAACATTGTTTATTTATGAGAGAAAAACCTGACAGACCACCCACACAGTATGTTCTTTTAGAGGCTTGTAGCTAGCAATCAGCTTTTATGGCAACCTCATCACCTAGTTTATAATTTGAATGCAGTGAAGTTTATGGACTCTGGAGAATGTATTCACTATTTATTGGCCTTTTTCCCCAGAAAATAAATAAGAGATGAGCGTGCTTCTATATTTGTCTGATGCACGCTGAGGTACTTTTGCTTATGTATTCCAAGGTGGTTCTACTGCAAATAGCAAATAAACAAAATTTGAATCTGAATTTGAGATGTTTCCACTCAAGCTTGGTTACCTTTAGTACCATTCAAACCTGTGACTTGTGAGTCCAAAATCACTATACACTTTTGAGAAGGGTAATGTGATTAGTCTCTGTTGGCATTTTGATTTGACAAGAAAAAGATTGTTTGGTTGAAAATTCTAGCTTTAGGAGATGCACACACTGTAGTAGAACATACAGCAACCAAAAAACCCACTCGAAACAAATATACATCTGAATAGACACGAGTTATTCTTCTAATAAGACTAAAGTTGTTGCTACTTTATCCTGCTTAATTACCTGACATGTTTCCAGGGTGCAATAGCCAATAAGAGATGTGAAGGTGGAAGTCTACAGCCTAAACATGTCAAGAAATGAAGCAGTACCAGCTTCTTTACACACTTTTGTCTAATTAGAGGAATGCCTCAAGCCTGTCAGAAGAAAGACATATACAGTTTCTGTTTTTTTTTAATGAATGTTTTAATCCAGGGGTGGTAAATTTGTTCTCCAAGGGGCACATTTGGATATGTATGTATTGTGGAGGGTTGGACATATTTTCATATGGTTACCATTTGATTTAATGTGGAATGACATATTGGTTGTAAGCTACTTCTGTAACAAAATTGTGTTTAATTGATGAATACCAACTTTGGCAGAAGAGAAGGGAATGGAAACCTGAACATATCCAATGTTTATGTGTTAGCTCATCTTTTGCAACCGGGGCTTTTTATTTTATTAAATATGGATTATATTTTTAGTTGTCTAAAGAAGATGGTAAATAATGCCAAGTATTGTGGACAAATTAATTCTTTTGATTTATGATTATTATGATGAGGTATAACATGCCATGAAGTTTAAAACATTCATTGAGTGAATGCAACTTCAGAGTACAAATTCATTTAAAAAGGGGGAAACAGTATAAAGTTTGTGATTGGGAAAAGGTTCATGAGCCACTTAGAAGCGTGGATCTGGCCGTATGAGGCCCCCAGGCCTTACTTTGACCAGGTCTGATGTACTCCATGGTCCTGTCTCTCTGATGGTGCAGTCTATAGTATTATCTTTCTGATGGTACCCTGTCTCTCGCTCTCTGATGGTGTTGCCTGCAGGGAGGAGGTGCAGGGCCACATGAGTCGCTCCGTGGCTCAGACTCATCGGGCCTCAGAGCTGGAGCGTCTGCTGGACCAGGTCCGGGTCCGGGTGCAGGAGCTGGAGGAGCGCTGTGTGGACCGAGCTGCGCACACTGAGGGGGAGATGCAGAGTCTGAAGCAGAGCAAGAGACAGGCTCAGGTGTGGTCCCGGATTTGTTTTTGATCCATCCATGCTCAACTCTTGATTCTAACATATAACTCCCGCTCACTATCGCTACACTCTTTTATGACTTTAAAACAAAAACATTGCTCATAGATCCGTTAATTTCTCGAGTGAAATTACATTCTTTACAACCAGTTATTTTTTAATTTGTAAAAAAAATAAAACTAATTCTACTGCTCCCACTGCTATGATGTAGGGCAGGTCATTATCATTGTTTACCCTACTTGTTTTACCTTTTATTCACATAACAGTTGACATAAAAAAAAAAATGGAATGGCATTAAACAATACTGAGACTAAAATAATGTGTAATATTATACTTAAAGGGGCTATCCTCAGCTTATGGTTCGAACCAGGTGTTGCAGCGATTACATTTTCTTAGTTTTGATAATTGTATTAAATTTTGTAATTGTAAGTTATTACAATTAGATATAAATGTTTGCACAGTCGAGCCCCCTGCCTCATAGTTCCTCTGAGGTCCAGGGGGCAAAGCTCTGGAACTCTTTAAGGCCTCAGCTAAAACTGAACTCTGACTGGGCTGGTTTTTAACACAAACTCATGCGATTTCTTAAAGCAAACCAGTTGTTTGAGCATCAATGAGTTGGCCAACACCTGCTTTTGTATAATGTGAATATTATAATATAAAATATGTTTTAATTGTGTTTAATGCCCTCCTAGGGACGGACATTGCAAATTAGCCTTGGCTATAAATGTTGTAGTGTTTCACATGTTGATTGTGTACACTTGTTCCTATCAAATAAATCAATACATAAATTCCTGCATTTTGCCATAGATATGTTATTGCTTTACTTTTGGTACTTACTTTTGGTATGCCATTATGTATTTATAACATGGCCATTTCTTCAATGAAGATTATTTAAAATCTTAATTTTTCACTGTAAGAAGACTTACAACCTTCTGATGTCCCATTCTCCAATGTAAACAGAATATTTAATCACAATCTGCATAAATATTTGGTTAATACTATGAGATTTCATAACACTTTGAAGCAACTTTTGTTAAAGTTAAACTCATCATTCTATCAATGTGCAGAAGCCAGTACTTTTCCCTTGTTTTGTCTATCTGAAGGCCAAGCTACAAGCACACCGTGACAGCTGCTGATTGGAGGTCTCCATGCCTCCGCTCTGTATAATACACTTGCATTCTATTGTATCTGTGTTCGTGTTCGTGCTGTCTCTACCATCGACAATAAAACATGTCTTCTGTCTGAATTTAAGACACGATCCCAGACATGTCATCTTCTTCAATACCACCACAGTGTATGAAGCGGATGACTAATGAAATGTGTCTATGACCAGTTCTGTAACCTGTAATTGAGCACATGTCTACTTATCCCTATAAGTCACAATCCACACTCTCACAGTCAGGAATAAACATTGGAGGCAGCAATTCATATTTATGCAGCTAAAATCTGTAACAGTTTTCCTGACATGTGTCAGGCTTCCACTCTAACAGTGTTCAAATCCACGTAACTGTTGTGTTTAGCTGTGCATACAACTGAATAATTGTATCGTCACTCTTTTTAATGTGTTTTTCTGTGTTTTTTTTAATCACTTGAGTTGCCTGTCTTATACACTTATACACTAAACCTTCCCCTGCCTCTTTACAAGCCCTTCACATATGTGTCTCTTTTGTGTGTTTGCAGCGGCTGGTGGAGGACTTGGACCAGGCGTTGCAGAAACAGAGGGAGGAGATGAGCGCGCTACAGAAGAAGCTGCTCTTCATTGTGAGAGCCGAGGAGCAGCGTCTGGTCCAGCAGAGCCAGACGTTTGAGCTGGTCTGCAGACGGACTGTAAGGCAGGGCAGCTCACAGGACCAGCAGTGAGTCACCTCTGTGCCACGTCCCTCAAAACAGCTGGGGTTACCTCTGAAACAAGTCATAACCACCTCCCTTCTGTCCCTTATGTTCAAACACAGGCTTTTCAGTATCTCCATACTCTGACGTCATGGACAGACTTGTGATCTTCCTCTTAAAGCAAAAATTTCACCTATAAATTACTTGGAATGTTGTCTGTCAAATTACATGAAATTACCATGCCATATTTGTGTTATGAAAGCAGGATGCAATTCCACATTTCTACCACTAGATGGAAGTGTTCTTTAAATCCAATCCAGGCCTATTCAAGTTAAGACCCAGAAATCTGATGCAGACCATGGGCCATTATATAAGTTTGTATGGTTAATCTGATAGTTACAAGTCTTGTCCTGGTTAACCTGGTTCAGTACTGGTTTCACAAAAATACAGGAGTTATTATTAGGAAATATGACCCAAATAGTTTGTGTTAGTTTGTGTGATGGCAATGCACAACTCAAACTCTATATCTGCACAATACAACTCATACAAATCTAAAAAATAAGTATTAGTAATAAGTGATAAGGCTGACAAGGAAATAAGAAACAGTGATAACAAATGTATTACAGCCTTTGTTGTCCTGTATATCTGTATATCTTGTTTTGATTTCCGTAAGATAAGATGAGATAAGATAGTCTTTATTTATCTCACAAGGAGGAGAAATTTACATGTCACATTTGGCATGGATAGAAACACTCAGATTGTGCAAAAAAGGGAGGAAATGTGCAAACATGTTAAATGCAGGATAATTATGTACATAAAAAAGTGGCAGTTTAAAAGTGGCAATCAGAAACAGTGTCAATATTAGTGCAGGTTTTTCAGTCTTATACAGTGACTTAAAGTGACTTGTTGTACAGTCTGACAGCGGTGGCGATAAAGGCCCTGCGGTCGCGCTCCTTCTTACACTGAGGGTGCCTCAGTCTTCCACTGAAGGAGCTCCTCAGCTCCTCTACAGTCCTGTGCAGTGGGTGGGAGGTGTTGTTCATGATGGAGGTGGCTTTAGCTAGCACCCTCCTGTCCCTCACCTCCAACGAGTCCAGGGAGCAGCCCAGAGTGGAGCTGGCCCTCCTGACCAGCTTGTTCAGTCTGCTCCTGTCCCGTCTGTGCTGCCCGGGGCCCAGCACACAGCAGCGTAGTAAATGGCTGAGGCTACCACAGAGTCATAAAAAGTCCTGAGCAGAGGCCTGCTCACTCCGAAGGACCTCAGCCTCCTCAGAAGGAAGAGGCGACTTTGGCCCTTCTTGTGCAGGACGTTTGTATTATGGGACCAGTCCAGTTAATGTGAACACCCAGGTACTTAAAGCTGTCCACCAGCTCAATGTCCTCCCCCTGGATGTTCAGCGGCGTGTGGGAAAGTGGTTTTCTCCTGAAATCGATGACCATCTCCTTGGTCTTACTGGTGTTCAAGCACAAGTGGTTGCGCTCACACCAGTCGACAAAGTCTGTGATAACCGACCGGTATTCCAGATCGTTCTCCTCAGACACACAGCCCACGATGGCGGAGTCGTCGGAGAACTTCTGCACGTGACAGAAGTTCTCAGAAGACTCCGCCATTGTGGACATCAACAAGGAATGTCAGTTTTAGATTGGTTTAAATGTTTATTAGTTCAGTTGTTTTAGATTTAGCAACATTTATTTGCTAATGTCCTTACTTTTGTTGTCTCCTCCCTAATATATTTGTCCCCCTCTTTCTTTTCTTTGTGCAGGATTTTAGACGTGATCGGCCACTATGAAGCCAAAATGTGCCAACTCCTGGATGAGTTTAGTTTTGAGCCAAATTGGAGCCACTAATAAAGGAACCATGCGTTTCATCTTTATTTTTATATTTCATAGAAGGAAAGGAGGAGACTCATCCCTGGAGCAGACAACCAGCTTCAGTCCCACTTTTAAAACAATGATGAAGGTAAATCCATGGTTTACCTTCATCATTTTATGAAGTCAAATGTGAAACATTAGCAGAAGATGGGTTCAAAGTGATTCAGTAGTGCCTTGATTGTTCTGCTGAAACACACAGGCGTTCCAGGAGTATGAGAAGGAAAGTAAAGCTCACATCGAAGACCTGAAGAAGAAAGTGGAGTGTCTCAAACAGGAGCTGGAGGCGCGGTCAGTGCTAACTTCATATTTATTATAGTTAATTTTGTCACTCCATGTTGAGCCATTGTAAATACATTTGTAAAGATATTTAAATTGTAAAAAAATATGGACACATAGTAAGTAAGTAGGCTTTATTTATACAGCGCCTTTCACAGACCAAGGACACAAAGCGCTTCACAGTAAAAACAGGTAAAAACAGACAAAATGCAAGTTAAAATACAAATTTAAAATGTGCGTATAAAAAATAAAAATATAATGGCCAAGGCGGCACGGTGGCTGAGTGGATAGCACTCTCGCCTCTCAGCAAGAAGGTCCTGGGTTCGAATCCCGGTTGGACCAGGGCCTTTCTGAGTGGAGTTTGCATGTTCTCCCCGTGTCTGCGTAGGTTTCCTCCGGGTGCTCCGATTTCCCCTACCACTAAAAATATGTACAATAGGTCTGGCATGTGCCTACTGTACTGGCACCCCACTCCCAAAAATAACAATTGTAAACCACTTTGAGACTCCGAAGTGCAGTGAAAAGGCGGTATATAAATAAAGATTACTTACTACTACTACTACAACTCAGTGACAGGTTTGAAACAGCTGCAAGAATGGCTCACATGGTGAAACTCAAATATTGTGTGTGTGTGTCTTTCTCTTTGTGTGCGTGTGTTTCTGTGTGTGTGTTGTATACTGTCTGTGCTGTATGCAAGCAAGTAAAATGTATACATATATAATGGTATTTCCATAAACAAAAGGGATGTAAAGATTGTATCATTATGAATGTAAACATTTCTGCTAACTTTTCAGACCGACGCTAAAAGATTTAAAATTCTACAAACACAAAGTTCGACGGATTGAGAAACTTTATAACTTGAGGTAAAGACTCTGAACATACTCTGTGCTACTCATGTTCTGTGTCTCACTGTGTCCATATTTGTTCATAGATTGTCTCAAGATGAAAACTTATACGAAATTCAAGATGGCTCCGACTCCACATCGAGCGACCAGAACCAGAAAGTATGTACACATTCTAGAATAAACATATCGTGAGCACATTTTGCAACCTTTAATAACTGCTGTTCATGCCAGTTCAGAAAATGTTTATGACCTAAAATATGTAAATGCAGTGTGTGTAATAAGGAGGCAACTAATATTATATTTTTGATATTGATTCTTGATGAGATGTTGTAAAAATGTAGCTTCTCAATTGACAAAAACCATAAATTGGTACATATGGGAAATCACCTGCAAGTCCTATGGATATAATGCAACAGTCCAGGCAATTATTACAATGATAAAGACTAAAGTCATTTTTATTTATCAGTCCACTACTTAAAGCTATATAAGAGTATTTTCCTAAATTTTAGGAAAGAACCGCCCTCTCCACTTTTTGTTCAAGCTTTCAAAAAATCACACTAAAAATGTTTAATTAAAAAAAGAACAAATATTGTTGTTTATAGTATGAGTTTTTCAATTTAGATCAAGTGTTCTTCACAACCCTGTAAGCATACATGTCTCATTCACTCTCTCTGTCTCTCTCTGTCTTTCTCTGGCTCTCTCTGTGTCCACAGTTGCTGAGTGAGATCAGAGCAGTGGTGACGGGGCCTAAAGCTCCTCTGAAGCTGCACAAACAGAACCTTGTGTCGGACTCTGGAAAACAGCTCCAGCCTCTGCTCCCAACTGTGCAACTGTGGGCCCAGCAGCTCACTCTACTTAAGGTGTGATGTCTGAGTAGTAATGGTGGAAGAAGATTTTTTACATGTTTGCACATTTCCAATTGTGAAATTTCAATTTCTCTATTTTGAGATCAATAGTCTATCTTAATTTTTCTAATCCTCAAGAGAGATTATATGGAGAGTGTAATGAACAGTAGGTTTCAAGTCTTTCCACAGATTTTCGCTTGGACTTTGTCGAGGCCCTGGTATTTTGTGATAATCGCGAAGGACGTCTGAGATCTTGCAGTGCATTCACGCGGGATAAGCAATGTCTGTAAATAACAATATTTTCACTGTCATAACGGCCACACATGCGCGAGTCTTTCTGCTTCACGCAGCCCATGAAGTCTCTCGTCTGACCACAGCAGCCACAGAGACCATGAAGACAAACACATACATATGGTTTTTATTGCTCTACAGTTCTCTGGCCCGTACTGTCTGTAATGTTTAACAATACTGTTTGTACGGACTACCCGTGAATGCACCAGATATTCTGCTAACATACGCGCAAGCAGCAGTATTGTCCCATTAACGGCTGCATCAACACGTCTGTACTGTGTTACAACAAAGTGCCATACAAACGCAACCCATCGGTCTGATCATTTTGTGTCAGTGAACACATTACACTGTCCTCTACCTCTCCATAGACCTCACAGGGACAGCAGCAGCGGCAACTCTGCAGCTGTGTACACAGCCACGATAAGCAACTCCTCTGCTCATTGACAAAAAACAAAGTAGAAAGTAGAGAATGTGGCAATAGCGATCAAAATCACTGACATGCAGATTCGTAAGGTGCTGTTTGTGAAAGAAGAGAATAATATACAATTTACAATACAATACAATTTATTCTTGTATAGCCCTAGGTCACAACAGAAGTCATCTCAGAGGACTTAACAAAACCATTGAAATCACCAACACAGGTCAGAGAATCAACAGCCAAAACACACAGAAGAAAATGTCCATACATGTTGTAGAATGCTAAAGTGTCCTGATCATCACCAATCCTTTCTGTTGGACACTAACTGTCCAACAAGACCCTCCTGCATCGACAAGGAAAAACTCTTAAAAAACCCAGTGGGAAAAAGTGAGAAACCTTGGGGAGCACTAGGGAAACCCACAGGGAGGGAGACCCATATGAGAAAGGGATCCGCTCCTCCGGACGGACAGGCTAATGATCTAGGACCTAAGCTAGCTACAGGACGTGGACCAGTGGCCGCTGAACGTGGACAGGTCCGGTGCAGGACCGAAGCACTCCCAGGCGGGTCGGGCGGGGCAGTCCGCAGGTGCAGATGGAGGAGGCAGGCTCAGAGATCCCGTCATCGTACCATGAAACAGACAATGGGACAACGGGTGAATAGCAATGAACAAACTACAGTCAGAATCCTAAAAGTGCTAAACAGATAAAGTAGATAAAGTAGGAAGGAGGAGAGGATAGTGCTCAAGTTACCATACTTCTCCCAGCAAACTGACTCCCTATGCAGCTTGACTGACACTCTGAGGAGTTTAGCCTTCCCCGAGTCTTACCTTCATAGCCATATGCTAAACTAAAGAGGACTGTTTTAAACCTAGCCTTGAATAAAGAGATTCATGGATTGCACACCAGGTGTGCAAACCGATCCAAGCAAACCTAATTATATATTATATATCATATACATCATATATACCATACATACCATATATATCATATATAATACACAACATAACATACAGCATAATATATAACAAAATATACAACATAACACAATACATTATTGTATAATATATAACATAATATATAACATAATACAGCATACATATATAATATATACACCACATATTATATATTACCTAATTATATGCTAAATTAAAGTAAAGTGCTTTAAGCCTGGCCTTGAATGTGGAGACCGTATCTGCTTCCTTAACATAAATGGGAAGCTGATTCCACAGTAAAGGAGCTTGGTAGCTAAATGCTCTGCCACCAACAGTGATTTTTGAGACCTTAGGGACCACCAGACGTCTGGCGTTTTGTGAGCGCAATGCTCGACTTGGTTGATACGACACTAACGTGTCTTGGAGATAAGAAGGAGCCAAGCCATTTATGGCTTTATATGTTAAGAGAAGGATTTTAAACTTTATTCTGTACTCCACAGGGAGCCAGTGGAGTGATTTTAACACCGGAGTTATGTGCTCCCTCCTTTTGGTACCTGTTAAGATCCTAGCTGCTGTATTCTGAACGAGCTGGAAGCTCTTCAAAGAGGCTTTAGGGCACGCTGCCAATAAAGCGTTACAGTAGTCGAGCCTTGAGGTGACAAACGCGTGAATGAGTTTTTCCGCGTCACTTTTAGGAAGGAAATTCCTAATTTTAGCGATGTTCCGTAGGTGGAAGTACGCCGTTTTAGTTGCTTGGCTTATAAAAGCCTTGAAGGAGAGTTCTTGGTCAAAAATGACTCCAAGATTCCTCACAGTGTTACTGGGTATAATACTGACATTATCGAGAGTAATTATCTGGTTAGTGAGGGAGTCACGCAGGCGCTTCGGACCGAGTAGGATCACTTCTGTCTTCTCCGGGTTGAGAAGTAGGAAGTTAAGAGTCATCCACATTTTAAGGTCCTTTATGCAGGCACTGAGCTTTTCCAGCTGATCTGTCTGATTTGGCTTCATCGACAGATAAAGCTGTGTGTCATCTGCATAGCAGTGGAAAATATCTTGTTATAATATCTTGTTATTGTTCACTTAAATGAGTTTGTTTCTCACATGATTTTCGTCTCAGGATCTGTACCGGAGTCTGACCAGTCTGTCCAGTAGACTGTTGCCCTCGCATCCCTCAGAGGAGGCTCGTCCCGAGCCCGTGAAGGTGGAGGACATGATGCTCCTGGTCGACACTCTGCTGGAGAACACCACCATAGACGATGACACGGTACCACACTGACCACAGGCTACCACACTGACCACAGGCTACCACACTGACCACAGGCTACCACACTGACCACAGGTTACCACACTGACCACAGGGGACCACACTGACCACAGGCTACCACACTGACCACAGGCTACCACACTGACCACAGGGTACCACACTGACCAAAGGGTACCACACTGACCGCACTAGGGCTTGTAGTCTGCAAGGAGTGAGCTATGAGCTAACTATTCTGGAGGTTCTTTATGATTCCATACTCTTAAATTGAGATCTCATAAAAATCAATGACTCTTCTGGCCCTTGGAAAAGCTATCTTCCAGGTTCTTTCCTCTGGTAGAAGATATAAGAGATGCAAGACATCTGGATATGCTAACAGTTTCTTTCCACAAGCTGTTATGATTGGTTTCACACATTGGTTTTGACAATTGTTTCTTGTACTTTTTACCTAGTTGTATTTATGTACATGTCTGGTTCAGGTTGTGATACTTTTGCACATGTATTCCAATGTGATTTTACTAAAATGGCAGAAAAACTGAATATTGATTGAATAGCTTATTAGAATCTATGAATCCACTTGGGAACTTTACTCCGACTTGTGCATTGGGCTCACCTCTATTGACCAGATGCATCAACGTCATCCAGTCACCGTGTCATTAGCACTGCAAAATGTCACAGTTTTGGCTGTAATGCGCTGAAACAGGTTGTTTTGGTCAGGTGTCCGTAGGCTCCAGTTAGACTTCTGCCGTCTGTCATGGAGAGTGGGCGTGGCCGGGACGTCACATGCAACGGGTCAATACACACTATAGGCACAAAGACTTCTCCCGCCTTCTGTACAATTGCAAACGTTGTGGATCACCTCTTTTCTCTGCTGCCATCTGGTGCAAAAATAGCTAAATGCCCAGAACAGATTTTATTTCTTTTGTACATTTACAATGAAGCTGAAATGTATCATAGTTTCACGCTTCTACCACTTGCTGAGGTGGTTTTCTATTCATGTTCATACAAATGTATCTTTGAAAAACCTGAAATTCTACATAGAAGCTCAAGATCAGGTTTAAATGTTGTGTAGCACAGATAAGCAGAAGTTATTTTGCTTTTGTATGAATTATGAATACATTTCGTCTGTGTGTTGCAGGTGTTGAGGAGCCCGACCCGCCACACTCTTAGCTCGATGGTGGCTCACTTTCAGAAGCTCTTTGATGTGTCGTCTTTGAGTGGAGTTTACCCTCGAATGAATGAAGTTTACAGACGACTGGGAGAGATGAGCACAGCCATGAGACACATCCGCTGCGCCCTGGACCTTGGTGAAGACCTCAGACTCAAAGACAAACACTAAACAGTCTGTGTTTGTCTTTTATTTAAGTTAATTTCTGTACAGCCCGGAATACCAACAACTGTCGCAGAAGAAGGGCCTCACAGAAATTTTATTTGCCAACAATTAAACGACAAAGAGTGACTCATAGGTCCATAGAAAAACAGTTTGACCAATGTCCATACATGTCCTCGATCATTACAACATTTATAGTCAAGGCTAATTTGCAGTGTTCCACATGTTGATTGTGTACTCTTATCCCTATCTAATAATTAGGGACTGAGGAAGATTCATAGCCTGACTCTCGCCAGACCTTTGTAGTTCCGCCATGCTCCACATGTTTGGCATGTGTGAAGTGCAGCGAACTACATGGGTCTGGCGAGAGTCAGGCTAGAAGATTCAGGAGTGGTTGATTATTTTCTCCAGGGACAACATCTCTGGGATTTCGTCATTCTGTGAATGGCCGAGCTTGTTAACCAAACCACATTTAATATTTTCTGTAAAAGCTAAAAAAGACATGCAGAGGGAAACGTCCTGTAATTTCATTTTGTTAGCTTTAAGTTTGTTTCAAGCTTGTCTTTAGCACATATGGCTATTGTTTTTTGTTTTAATCTTTTTACATGGTATTTGATTGATAATGGGTTTTATTGTTGGTGATCTAATGGACAGTAGGAGATTAAAGGCTGGGAAGGCTCTCGACTAGAGGACCAAAACATGAATCAAGCTCCTTGTAGTCCCCAGCCCACTGTTTAGCAAGGTCTGCATTAGATTCCTCTTGCTTCGTCAGAAAAACTTAAAAACAAAGTGGACAGACAGGCCATCCCATGGAGTACTGTGGACTTCCATGGATCCAGGACAAAGTTTTTGTCTGTTACAGCCATAGTCACTAAAGTTTGCTGAGGCTAGAGAGGGCACCCAGGCAGAGAGAGGGGTGCTATACCCACTAGTCTGGGCTAGGTACCATCATTCTGGCTTTTGCACCTCAGATAATTCTCAAACAATTTCAGAATTAGTTTGCTTGGAGAATATTAATTCTGAAACCATAAAGTTATTGGCATTGCAATCTCATTCATATACTTCTTAATGTGTCCTAGACGACAGAACTGAGGTGGTGAATGTTGTGACCAGACTCTCTGCTCAGCCTCAGACTGCAGTTCAGGACCTGCTCGAGGAAGACCACATCGACAGGTAAAAATACTACATATATGATCATTTTTATTTATATTTATTGTACTTTTCTTAATGTCTTTCAGTATTATTCAAAAAGTGAAGGATCATGATGAGTTTTTCCCTGCATTTCATTCATTCATCACTGACATCTTACAAACTTTAGGTAAACATCGCATTCCTTTTTCGATCTTTTCGTAAAAGTCTTTGCTAATGATTACTATGTGTTTATTATATTTCAGGTGTAACTCGACTGGAGGACATTCTTCCAGCTCTGCAATCACTAAAACAAGCTGTGTGATATTTTTTGTTTGTATTAAAACAAATGTTGCTGTGAATTGTTACATTTTTTATCACTGTCCTGAAGGTAAATTAAAATGCTGTTTTTTTTCTTTGTAAGTAAGTCATCTTTATTTGTATTGTGCCTTTCACAGACCAGAGTCACATGGTGCTTTGCTGTGAATTGCATTGTAAAAAGTAAGGAAACCAAGATATATTTAAATAAAATTACAAGCAACTTTGTAATTTTATAGCACAGCAATTGTGTAGCACGTACTCCCATTTAAGTATTTAATCCTCAAAGTAATTTCACAACATTGCCCAATACAATGGATTATTGTCCACTCCCAAAACAGCAGTTGCACTTGCATGATCAATACAATACTGAACTAAACCATTTAAGCAGGGTACCGGAGTTTAGAACATTCTTTAAATGACAATACATTGATTCGACTATTCACATACTTTTTCTAAATGACATAACAAATTTTAGTAACATTTCTGCTGTATATTGTTTTATATATTGCTAGAAGAATGTTTTGGAATGCGAGACTCCACCTCCTTCTCTATAATGGTACGGTCCAACTGTAAGGGAGCGATGCTTGGTTGCTAGGAAACGCTTCAGATTAGCCAGACTTTGGAACAGTCGGGAGCTAGCTTGTTTTCCACAACTTTTTTCTTCCTCTGAGTAAGGTTTTACGCTTTATAATGGCGGTGGAGTGTACTCAAAAGTGTATTTTGAACTATCTGTATGGGAAAGGCGGTCAAGTGCCAAATGCGGAGTTTGTGGAGCATTTTAAATCGATTTTCCCCAGCGACTCGAAGCGAAAAGCGGAGACAAGGGAGCTGTTCAAGAGGTACGTCGATAGCGTGGCGTTCGTAAAGACTCACAATGGAGTTAAATACGTTTGTTTGCGGAAAAAGTTCAGTTTAACGAAGCAGGAGCCATCACATCAACACAAGGACCGCGGGCAGGTAAACGGACGTGACGTGCAAGTCGCAACAGGTGTGCGAAGCAGCTCAGATTACTCGCACGATGGAGTTCCGCATGTTTTAGACACTTTACAAGAAGAGCAAGCCCAAAGCGACTGCAATACTGGCGTGGAATGTTCTGGTGCGGACGCGATGGGGAACAGAGGAAGCGTCAAACGACTGTCCAAACGCGAGCAAAAAGTAGTGGAAATACCAGTAATTACGTTGATTCAACCATCGCCGCTGTCCGTGCAAGAAAGCGTGTTCAACTTGCCCGAACCTGACGAAAAGGTAAATACAGAAAAGGGCGAGACGCGACTGAGTCAATCCAGGCGATTTTCAACACCATCTCTGCAATTACAGCGAGAGGAGGTAAGATATGTTTATTTAAGTACTGTATAGCTAATTAAAGCTGCAGGACTTTCAAACCACAATGAATGAATTAAAATCTATGTGTACCTAGTACTTCGGTCTCTTAACAGTTTGAGAATACTTGGTGAATATGGGATTATTTATACATTTGACCAAAACAAAGCTCTCGTAATGCCCCAGGAGAACATCTTCACAGGTTGTTTGATTTAAAAATCAAACAATGACGTTTTCATTTAATTCTGCAGTCATTAGAGAATTGAGTCATAAAACTTGTTGACAGCCTATTTATGCTTGAATAATGGATAATTTTCCATGATTTTGCAATAGATTAAGACTCTTATTGTAGTCCAATTTGTCCACAATGTTTTACCAGATATTGGATATATGTTTTTGTTGGGACCACCTTTTATTTTGTATAATAAAAAGGTCCCAAGCTCTTTATGCATTTTTACTACTGCTGCAGTCCACTAAATAGATGCCCAGACGATCGGTTGCTACACAAAAGGACACAATAAACACATAATAATATTGTTGTTTGATCTGGCTATTTGCAAATGTTTAACAAAAATTAAAATTCCAAACTAGCTACATTTCAGCTAACAACCTAAATGAGCCTTATTCTGCTCTCTGATTGGATAATCTGCTTGAAAATCATAAACATAAATACTGTGGAATATTGTTGTTTTAAGAATAACACTTTTGGCCCTTTCTGAACAAATGTTTAAAGATGTGAAGAAATTAATTCAATAATTGTACTTGACCAGAGTTCATTTGTATACTCTCATCTGAAGTATATCTGGCTATTATTTTGTCCATCTCTCATTACAGGACCAAACGCAACTCGAGGACAGTAGAAAATGCTCAGATGACGGGGATGCACAGAGCCTGACAGGCAGCGAGGGGACGCCCAAAACCAGCCGCAAAAATTTCATCGAAGTCATGATGAGCAGCTCGCCGCAGGTGCGGCGCAACATCTCTCTACGCACGTCCAGCATTTCACGGAGTGATAGCGACTCTGCATCCATTGCGTCGGGCGTGCTGGACGATGACCGTGCTCCGGTGGCGCTGGATCCGCTGGAACACGAGTGGATGATGTGTGCGTCAGACGCGCAGTGGGGAAGCCTGCAGGCGCTGCTCAATACTGACCCAGGTTTGGTTTTGAAGAAGGATTTCGTGACCGGTTTCACGTGTTTGCACTGGGCAGCGAAGCAGAACAAACCAGAACTCATCGCACTCATAGTTAACTTTGCCAAACAAAACCGCGTCTGTATGAGCGTCAACGTGCGCTCCAGCACCGGGTACACGCCGCTGCACATTGCCGCCATGCACAACCACATGGACGTGGTGAAGCTGCTGGTGGGCGCCTACAACGCAGACGTGGAGATACGCGACTACAGCGGGAGGAAGGCGTGCCAATATTTGACCGACAACGCCAGTGTGGACCTGCGCGACATCATCGGCGCCTACGAAGTGGAGACGGAGAACAAGCCAGAAGCTGTTGGAAAAAGATGGACGTTCACCAAAGCCCTCCAGATGAAGCCCAAAGCCCTACACCGACTGAACAGTGCAGGGGACAGCGATACTCCAGACGGGGGCGCTAGAGAGAGCCCGCTGAGGAGGAGAGCTTCTCTGAGCCGGGTGAAGCCAAAGCTGCAGAAGCTGCGCTGGAGGACGTCGCAGCTGGTCCACAGCACCACTTTTCATGGAGTTGAGGATTTGGAGAAACGCAGAGGAGCAAGGCCCAAGACGCACTTTTTTACTTGAACAAGTTAAAATAGGTTGATTTTTAACATTACGTTACGTAGTGAACTACCTGGACACTACAGATTTATATTTATTTATTAATGAATGTTGTTTGGTGATTTGGAGCACTACCACCTAAGTCTTGTCTAGTTTTGACAAGTCGTAAAACACAAGTACAATATGTGATATTCCTGCACTTATAGTTTTTGTTCAGGGGATTCCTTAACTTTCTTCTACTAGCCATTACAAACTAACGAACTGTTGTTACTTGTAGATTGTTTTAATACTACTTTCTGTGAACCGGTGTTACGAGCCTCATGCATCACCTCAGGGCCGTCAGTTTGGGTTTTGTTAATCTGTTTAATCCGTCCACACCGTTACAACTTTTGAATTCCAGCAAATCTTGCATGGAACTGTATTGTATTGTGTGTATTCGTCTCAGGATCAAAGCCATAACTTACTATTGAGCTGTATAGATTTGTACCCTGGACTTTTTACTATTATGGAACAACTTCTAACTACTGTGGGGAGAATTTAGGCACTTTGCACAATTTATATTGTTTAATTTCTGCTACTTCTGCAGCTCTAAGTGCTTTGTGCTAACGTTGGTTGGGAAGCATTGGGGATTTTAAAAATGTATATTAAATTAAATAAAGTCACTATTGCACATATTTTGACATGGTTTGCCTCTTCCCTAGTTGATTGGGTTTAACATAGAAGCTCTGAAATATAAACATCTCAGTAAGACGTATCATGTTAAATAAAAAATGGAAATGGTGGAAAACAACAGAAGATGTATAAATGGCTCTTATAGGTTGAGGTTTAAGTAAAGTTCTGTCTGGTCTGTTGCTCTAAGGATAGAAGAAGATGGTCCTTTATTCGTCCCACAACGGGGACATTTTGGTTTGATGCATACATACATATACAAATACACATCAAGGCAAGCATCACTTCTGCGCTCCATATAGGCAAAGTGGGTTAAGTGTCTTGCCCAAGGACGCAACGACATCAGTGGGAGTCGGTGGAGAAGCTCTCGTGGTGGGCTTGAACCCACAACCTTCTAGCCAACTGAGCTACTGATCCATGTATATCTCAAAAGCAGAAGTACATGTTGAGTAACCCAAATTAAGTATTTGAGGAGTATAATTGAGAATCCATGGCACCTTGTCATAATAGAAGTAATTTATAACAGACAATAAAGAAAGCTTCATAGTTTTGCCCCAGTGAGAAGCAGCTGGATCGTTGCTCCATGTCCGGAACAGCGCTCTGACTGGTGAGTAATATACAGGTTTACCCCTCACCTTGTGTAAATATGAATGTTTTCCTTTTGACAGAGAAGGAGGCGTCCAAGAGGAGATCGAGGCCCAATCTTTTCTGGGGCTGGAACTTGAGTGCAGCTGAACACTCAAAACTGAAGGGAACTACATGCTGTTTATAATGCAGATATTGTTCAGGAGGGAGACAGTGTTTTGTTCACTGTTTATGGCGCTGGACGGTGCAGACAGCAGCAAAAAGGGGGGGAAAACTTTGCAGAAACCACTTTTTGAATGTTTTCAAATGAACAACCTGCCCACAATGTGTGATTATATTTACCAGCTTTGCGGTGCAGTGATACAATCAGTCAGTGGCAGAATTAAAATTTGCAGTAGTTATACAGTATCAAATTCTTCTCTTAGGTGACAAATGTCTGTTTTAAACTCTATTCTTTTGAAGTCTTATAAATGTACCTGAAATAAAATTATAGCTTACATCAACTATTTTTACAAAGTGGACTGGACACATAATACAGACTCCTTCAAGAAAGTCCAGACCTTCTGTGGTGGCTCAGGTCTTTTGGATTGCAGGGGTCATTCTGGAAGACCTTATGGCTGTGGTGTCATCAGCCTCTTGTACAGTGTGGTTCTCTGGAGCATCAGCATCACAGAGAGGGACAGGAAGAACCTGGACAAGGTCATCAGGAGGGCCAGCTCTGTCCCAGCTGTTTCCTGGACAGTAATACAATATATTTTTCTCTTTGTGTAATAACTACACAGTACATCTTCTAAAACATACTGATTAACGTTTTTTTCCTATTGTCACAAAATGTAATAGTTTGAGCCATCAGTTTCAAATGTTTAACATTAGACATGTCAAAATAGTAGAATATTGTCAATCAGTAAAAAAACAAAAACATTGAAAGTATATATTCCTAGTTATTGTATGTATTACTGTGATTTATTTTTATCATTCTGAAATGATTCTCAAAACATCAGCTGTTTCACAATATTCTCATTCCTGGAGTTTGCATATCTGATGTCTCGTGTTGCTACTCGTCAGTTTCCTGAGTGAGTTTTGGCTTGTGTTCACTCTAAGATCCATCCATCTTCTTCCCCTTAATCCATTTCTGGGTTGGGGGGGTGGCAGTCAGAGCTGCACCCAGTACACAGAGCACCAGCCCCTCACTGATCCTCCTGCAGGTGGTGAGTCCACAGGAGCTGAGATCTTTCAGTGGGAGCTTCAGGCAAAGTGGGGTTAAGTGTCTTGCCCAAGGACACAACGACAGCAGTCATCAGTGGGAGTCCTGTAGTAGGTCTTATGGTGGGCTTGAACCCACGACCTTCAGGCCCAAAGGCCAATGCTCTACCAACTGAGCTACTGTCGCCCCTCACTCTAAGATATTTTCCTGATATCAGTTGTCCAAACACCGCCGAGTATAAAGCCTAATAAAACTACTGGAAATGTTTTTACAAATTCAGTGCGAAGTCTGTATATATTTGTAATCAAATCGATTAGTTATTTGATTTTTAAAGGATTTTGTTGTTCCATAAGTCTTTAATATTTGTCAGACCTGATGATTCGACCCCTTCAATCTGTCGGCACTGGTCTATTGATGGTATTTCGATATTTTCTGGAACCAACTTTATTACCGAAAAGATAAGTCTTTAAACAATTCCCAACTGAAGGAAAGACATAAGTTGGTCATTCTTTCAATCACTACATGCCATGTATTTTAACAAATTGCTTTTGATTGTTTTTATATTGCTGTGAAATCTGTTTGATATTAGAATAAGAATAGAGCATGAGTTGAACAGTGTTTTTCTTCACAATCATGTACAGAAAGCTTCACTTGTTTACTCTTATTACATATGTTGGGTTTTAATTTGGTTTCCTCCGGATGCTACGGTTTCCCCTACCACCATAAACATGCACAATGGGTTTGATTGTAATGAGTGAGTGAATGGATGGCGTTTAGTCAAAGGCTTTGATCCGCCAGTGTGTTCGGCGACTTGATTCTGTCATCACTGTGTGGAGAGAGTGGAAAAACTGACCTCTGAACAATTGTAAAGCTCTTTGGGTGACCTAGGTCTGTCAAATGCGCTATACAAATAAACCTTACTTACTTATGTGGAATGTGGAGAAGTCTTGAGTGAAAACAGAGGATTTTCTCATAACATTTTCCACGTTTTAAGGAATGAGGAAAGGAACAGGCAGCCTCGTCAGCACCTGTCAGCAGCAGAATTATCAGCGACATCTTTGTTTAGCCCCAAAGATCAATCGTAATCTTTACTTGCAATTAGAATGATTGATGTGTGTTCATTTGTAATATGTAGTTGTCATGTTGACAGTGTTATGGAGCTGCAAAGTCCCTGCCCAACTCCTGCATTTTATGTATCCATCCCATTATTTATTTGAAATTAGGACCGTACATTTTAATCAATGTGTCGGCAAACAGCATCAACATACATTTACTGGAATTAGCACAATTGCATCCATTACCGGTAGAAACATGCAAACACACAGTTAGGCAACACTCCAAACAATAACTCGACAAGCACAACGTAAAGAACAATTAGTTACAACAATGTATTGTTCTATCTGACACATCTGAAGGTGTGGCATGTAGAACCAAGCTACAAGAAGAATACAGAAGCTACAAAATAGATGGATACTTTTTTATCTTTCGTTTTGTTTTTTATTCCTTAGGTTTAGATCATAATTTCTAAACTTCCTGGTGATGGCTGTGGCTGTGCAGTGGACACAGTGCAGCAGGAGGGGGCGGGATGGTCCTGCACAAACTAACATCTATGCTGGACCATGACTGTAGGAGAGTGACAGACAGATCCATCCTTGATGTGTGAAGAAGAGGTTCTGTGGGTCTCAGACTGTGCATTGAGAACTATATTCATCTGACAACTCGGCTCCTATAACCTGCTGGTACCTTTACCCACTGTTTATTCTGGTCATATTCTCTGCTGCTTAAGTACATTACCAACCATGTAGTTCCCTCATAATGCTGTGTACTCCACAAGTGACTTATTCTTGAACCAAGCAATTATATCTCCAGGGTTTTAGTTTATCTTATTTTGTAATTTTACATAGATCCTGTGTGTTGCTTGCATAACCTGAGTGCTCTTTTTTTCTCTCATTTTATCCTTCTGTAATGTGCGCAACGATGACAAATAATTTTCCCCACTGAGGGACGAAACAAGATGTATCTTTGTGCTTGTTTACCTGGGCTTGATGTGCAGTTGGAAGCTGTCCCAGCAGGTGGCAGCACTAGACTATTATATAGTTTCTTGCAGGGGTTATTACATAATTCTCACACAGCCATTACGGGATTTTACATTCAACTTGTTTCCACTGCTTCTGCAAAATGATTTCTAAACACAACTTTCACTGTTATAACATGCTTTATCGCTGCTGCTACAAACAAATATGTGACATGCAAATGTGCTGTTGTAACATACAGTATGTAGTAGGACTGTTATATATATATATATATATATATATATATATATATATATATATATATATATATATATATATTATATATATATATATATATTATATATTGAAGAATATTAAAATGAAAATTCGAAAGCTCCTTAACTGCCAATCAGCAATGTGGTGACATGACATAAAACAGGGTAACAAACAACTCGACCGAACCATATCATTAAAATTATTCTAAAATTTGATCCCAACATGTGATTTGAAGTTAAACAGAAAATACATTGGGTCAAAATGTAAACATAATATAGTCTCTTTCTCCTGCTCTATATGATGGTTGCGATATCAAGTCAATTATTATGTATTTTAAACATAAATTAGGATTCCAAATGCAAAGTTTGAAAAAGTGTTAATGGCCTCTTTAGTATGTGCTTTATTAAAAACTATTAAAAAGAAAATAAATCATCTTTGGGAAAATTGGACACAGCCACTTCAACCTCAAATCCTGTTGCGTCCGTATAAATTAAAGATAAAAAAAAACATTTTCTTCTCATCAGTTGCATAATCCTCTGGAAGTTGGGAGCAAAATGTGGACTCAGCGATCCATAACTTGCTTCTTTCTGTAAATCTGGGTTAACAGCCGTTGCAGACACTGGCCTGTTTCCTGCTGCAGGAGACAAATAAGGGCATGGAGGAAGAGCTGCGAGTAACAAGGCCTTCTGGGAATTGTAGTACAGCAGATTTACCTGTCTGCTGCCATGAGTGTCCAGCATCAGGACTTAAGGATCACTCTGCTGCTGCTTCTGCTGTCAGGCTTTAGTTATCCAGGGAGTGGATTATGGCGTGACAAGATGATGAAGTAGAGATGCTTTCATTTGAGTTTTTTTGTGTGTTTTTTTCCCCTCCTCAGAGATCCAGACAGCATATGGCCAGATGTCAGTGTGCATGAAACATCTGGAGCGAGAGCATACAATCGGAAAGGAGAAACGTGGTGAGATATAATGGTTTAAGAATGTATGTTGAAAGCAGTTTATATCATGTAGCAGAGTTTAAGAAGGATAGCATTAAACCAGGACTGAACCACAGCTGTCTGACGAAACAATACAAAGGGATTTAGTTTTTTCATCTATTCCTCTCACAGTGCATTAACAAGTAATCTCCTGAGAGAATCATGAGCATGTGTTAAAGCAGTCTGACGTTCCCATGTGTTCACTCAGACCTCCTTCACTTTACTTCTAAACTTGCCAAATCTTCACTACATGTAATCCCAGGGAAATGTAAACTAAATGATTATAATTGAAGTTGAAAACAATGTAGGCCCAATCAAAATTAAACTTTCCCTGATCTATACAAGTACACACCCCTGCTTTCTGATTGGTTTAACTATTCTCCCCCAAATCATTTTTACTGTACATTTTAAAAGGGACGTACTGTATGCAATATGCACTCTTGTTCTAATAGTCATTACTATCACTCTGACGTTGCCAGAATCTTCTGCCCGTGACACATGTCGCTCCTGAACACTGATCATTGTAACAAAAGTGGTGCTATATTTTATGTTGTTACAAAATATATACAATAGAGCCAGGTAGAGTGCTCCTGATAAAATGGCAATAAAAATTAGGAATTAATTCCACTCTGATCGAAACATGTTTATCTGTCCATAGTAATTTTAATTAAAAATAAGTTTAAACTTTTGTTCAGAAAAGGTCGATTAGGATGTGTACATGTGACCTGGAAGGGGACACATATACAAGATGGAAATGTATTTTATAAATGAAAATTGCCATCCACCCATGGCAATCAGCTGCACCCCAAATCACAAGCTGTAAGTCACAATTCACAAGTCGACAAAATGCATTGATATCGTAAATGTGGCTTTATTAATAAGAACAGTATCTTTTAATGAACATTGCAGATACATAATAGAAAAAAATGAAATCCCACGAGACGCAGTCTCCTCCAATAATGGTGAAAGTGCCTGGAATAGTTCTGTGCTATATAACGACATTAATATTCCAAATTCATCCAAAACATCACACTGTATTTACCCACGTTTTCAAAGTTAGAGCTCAAGAAAACGCATTTTTATTTTGAAAAGCTTGTAAAGGGACGAGATCTCCCAACACATCAGAAATGATAACTACTGAGAGCTCTCACTTTGAAAATCCTTCATCTACAAAAGTATTATGGCTCGATTGTCTAGTAACAGTTTGACTTTGATTTATATTTACACATTATTTAGAGCGTGTTTCAGGAATGACTTCGGCCAGAGTAGACATTTGTTCATTTCATAATCTTCAGTTTCTTTTCTCGTATTGCACTCTGAGCTTTAATCCAGGTCAATATCAAAATCACACCAAAATTAAGACATTTTCAATAAAACATGGGGGAGAAAAACAAACACTGTAGATTTCTTATTGTGATGGTTTTGCATATTTTGTTTGGCACAAAACGTATGATTCTTTCTGTTGCAGGGAAGGGTTAGTATAAGTGGATGTCTCCTCTGGACCACAGGGGGCGCTGGCAAGAACGTTTGGCCTCCGCTGATCCAGGGTAGTAGTTCAGGGCATGAAACCACAACCTCTTGCTTCACCATCTTTATCCATAGATTTTCTAACCAATACTTTATTTCACACTTTAAACAATAATCTTGAATATTTACTAGGGGTGCAAAAGACAACAGTATAGTATTTTATTATTTAAATTCCTTCCTTTTTTGATGGGTAGGCAAACACTTTGACAGCCCTCCATTTTAGCCAGTGATAAATGTATTTCCTTCTTCAAACCAAATAAACTAAACTAAGGTAGTTTATTTTCACTTGCTGTCACATACATTCATATCTGTATTATTGGGCTGATTACAGGAGATTACGTCTGGATTAAGCTTTTGTTACGTTTCCACTGTCGTCTTTCTCAGCTGCACTTGTGTGTTAGAATCCTGTTAAGCATGTAGTTTTTCTTTTAGTCCGGAATTAACAAAGTGGAACAAGTGACCATACCAACATGGCTGACGACTGACCACGATGAGCCTGGACCGCTGCGTGTGGAGAAATAAGGTAAGAACTCAGCTCCTGTTCCATATGCACCAATCAGCCACATATGAACGCTTAATATTGCTGATTCTATCCAAAGAACCTCAGACAGGTTTAACAAGAAGATCCCAGTGATATCATAAACATGTTTCTAATTTTAGTCATACGAGTCGTTTTAAATTATTAGTTTACTGCCATTGATAAATATATAACAACAAAAGTAATCTACCCAACACTGGTTATAATGTTTTGGCTGATTGAAAGATTTGGCTTCGTATGAGTGCCCATGCCAGCTCTGGTCAGATATTCCAATAGGGACTGAAAATCTGTAGAAGATGATTAGCTTTAAGTTTATATCAAGAATGTCTCTCCATTCGACTCATCTTAATACTTCTGGGACCGAGCTGGTTCCCAATGCAAGTAATTTCATGTTTTGAATGAAAAATTAAGACCAGTAGCTGCTGTAGCATTCTGTTGGAATAAAAACATGTCCTGACTTTTAGACGCTGACCAGAACTCGCCGGGTGCTGTGTCCAGAGTCAGAAGGATGACATCATCATGGATCCAGTTTGTGCGATGAATCAACAAAGTCAACACAATCTCTTGCGAAAGGGTAAGACATTAAGTGAGAGACCCCTTTATTTTCCATGATCTACTTGTATGCATTTCACAAAAACAATATTGTACCTCATCCACCTTCTACTGTATAAGTTCTCTAAGCAAATATCCCTCAGTTACAAAAATATACTTTTTTTTCATAAAATATTACACAATAATTAGATTTTTCATTTCAGTGATATAATCTTCTGATAAGTAATAGCAAGGCTGTTTTTTTTCAACGTAAAGTGTGACGAAGTGAAGCCTAGCACCTCGAGTCTTTGTCAAAGTCTGTTTCAAATCCATGGACTCTTTGTTTTGCATATTCCAGTTTGAGTCCTGGTAATCCGTGAAGAATGAGCCAAACATCGTCCAAGTCCCGGGAGGCTCCGTCAAAAAAGATTCCAAACCAACTAATGGAACTAAAGGTAACATCCACACATCTCAGGCTTCACTTACGAGGGAAAACAAAATCCAACAAATAATGAGAACCAAAAATAGTCATCCCAAACACAGATGCTACAAAGAATTAGAAAAAGATATGTACAAACCCTGTTTTCCTGGTCGGGCGATGATCGTTGGCTTGTGTTAGAGTTTTCATACAGGCGAAACGAGTCTCTCCTCTCAGATCTGCAGGGACCAAAACCACGGCTGGTCCCTGTCTGGTCCCGGTTGTTCCCTGGTGCAAAGAGCGGCGTGAGCGTGGCGGTCCTGTGTCACCAGATCACAGAAGAGATGCTGGTTTCGCGCGGCAGGAGCGGCAGCATGGCGTTGTTGCCCGCGTGGCTCTCCTCCATACTCTGCTGGCGCGGCGAGCGGCCCTGCGGCCTCTGCCCATTGAGCAGCGTCATGGGGATGTTGCAGTAGGTGTGCTGGTTTCCGAGCGTGGTGGAGAGCGGCGGCAGAGTGCCCCCTGGTGGCAGGTCGTAGTCGTAGCCGCGGTAGTACTGGTGCTTCTGCCTCAGCTGGGTGTGGCACGTGCCGAAGGAGGTGCGCAGGTCGGGGTGCGCGGTGGCCATGGCTGTGGATGTTGCCATGGAGATAGCGGAAACGGTTTGGAGCTCGCCGAAGGGGCCCTGCTCGCTCACGTCCAGCACCTGCTCGTGGGAGATGGTCAGAGGGGCCTCCAGCCGCTTGAAGGGCATCTCGTACAGCAGCTGCTTCCAGAACTTGGAGCTGAGCTTGTTGCTCTTGGGGCCATGCCACTTGATGACGGTGAGTAGCTTGATGGTGTGCTTGAGTGCCTCCACCTCCTGGTAGTTCATGATGCCGCGCAGCTCGGCGCACTCGATCAGGATGACTTTGATCTCGCCCGTCACCAGCATGTTGCGCAGCCTGGTCTCCAGCTCAAAGATGCTCCACCCCCGCCGCACCACGTAGCTGGGCGTCATGACGATGATCAGCCGCTTGCTCTGGTCCACACAGCGTGCCACATCCTCGATGTACGCTGCGAAGCCAGAGACAGAAGTGAGAAGCGGGTCTTGGATTTCAGTACATTTGGACTGTCTTCAAAAAACCTGTCTTAAAGTTTTGAATACTGGCAATAAAGAGACCTTTATGTCACAATTTGTTTTACACATTGGATATAAGGAGGCCAAAAGAACCAAACTGTTTTGAGAGCAAGGAAATAGGTATCCCGAGCTTTAAAATGTAAACCTTTTAAACTATGAAAATCTAGTCCTAAGTCAAAATGTATTTGAAGCTGTGTGCACAATAGAATTACATTTATTTAAAAAAACTGTCAGCAAAAGCTGTGTTTTTTTCTTTTAATCTACCAATCAGACAACACTAAATATTATATAAGAGAGACTTTATACTTACTTCGTATTTTGCTAAAGTTAGATATTATATACTTAATTCTTGCTTCTTCCTAATGCTAAATTTGGAGATTTTAGATTTGCGTCCTTATTATGCTCAAGTTAGAGATTTTATTTTATTTTATGTAGGGTTATTTTTCATTTATCTTGTGTTGTGTGCTCGTCATTCCTGCTGTTACTGCTAAACGGTGATGCAACACTGAAATTTCCCCACTGTGGGACGATCAAAGGATCTCTTAACATTGACCAATTTAATAGAACTGTGGAACATTGTGGACGCCTAAAGACAGGAGTACTTTCGCTTATAGTTAAAGTGACTTGTCATCTACAGAACACTGTATCCTTGTGTTAATTTTAATGGTCCCAGTCTCAGTTATAACTGTAGCTCCAGAACAAACATTGCGTAAGCTTTTTTGAACCTTTTCTGGCGTTTGCTCACAGCACAGAACTACTGCTGTCTTTAATCAACATTTAACACAAGCATTTCCAATTAATCTGAGAGCGTACGAGAAAGTAGGACAAAAAAAAGACTCATTAACTACGGCGCATTTGGAATAGGCTAATGCAGCGGGCAATTTGCAGAAGCCTTAAGGAGAATTATGAGAAGCAGATTTTAAATTGGCCATAATATAATGAAATACTCTGGATGCGCTAGAACAGGTGGGCAACGAAGCTGTCCCAGTCCACTGTCGTCAAATGACCGCTACACCAGAGTTTCTCATTAAGGAAAAGGTGGCTGTAATAGTGAAAGCACAAGAGGTAACTATTTTGTTTTTTTTATCGCTGCTGAAAACAGAAATTCCACAGCACTGCAAGTTACCAGCCATATTTATAGAGGAGAGAGCCAACAATATACATATTTACACTGGGGTTGTTTAAACTATACATTTCACACTGAGGAACATTCCAAGCTAACTTTATGGCCATGAATTTGACTTTTTATTTTCACCCCTCTGGTTTAGTACTGTGTTATTTGATGGGGTAAGTATATAGAAACTTGTGAATAATATTCAATCATTATTTTTACTTACACTATAATAAAACAGATAAACCAGATCTTAAATCAGTTGTATTTTTCCTCATAGACACGTTTCATCAATTGGGCAAAAAAACCCAGACTCTACAACAAAACTACAGGTTAATACAAAAATCAAGAATAGCAAACACATTACAGATATACACTCTCTACAGATGACAAATGCACAAGTCTTTAAGTTTGTGTTGATAACTCCCACCAATTATAAATGAGAATTGAAATGCTATCTTTCAAACACCTACATTAGCCTTCTCTCTGTGATGGCATTTTTCTCCGCAGCCAAGCCTTTCTAATGTGGGTCGAAAGGTTAAATACGTGGCCGTTATTCCTTCATATTTTACGTCCGGGTTTTGACAAGTGAACTACGGCTGTGCCACCAGGTCGTAACTTTGATTAAGAAGCCAGAGATTTAAAACACTGCTTTGCATTTGCTGACGTTCAAGTCAACCTTATACCTATTATTGGACTGGAGCTTCTTTTGTATTCAATTAGTTAAAAGGTGTAATACGCAAAATTCGCCATGGAGGGTCCTTCTACAAGTTGTTGTTTTGCTTGGAATGTTTATTTCAAAACTGTGTTATAATTGCAGACAAATAAGAGACTTCACTGGGCCAAGTTACACAGAGAGGGGAACTAATCCAACAAGAATTCAGGTTTATAAGCATAGACTGTATATTAGGAGTATAGACATACAGAGTACTGACCTTAATGCTGTAGAAGATGATTTGAAATAACTTGGTAGCAAAAACTAAGTAACCAAGCGCTGGTCTGCCTCAACAAGCTAAAGCCGAATGTGGAGGGAGAGAAGTTTCCTGATTGGCCAGGTATTATAGCTCATATCTGGATTATACAAAGAGAATATAAAAACTAAAAAACAGCATCATAGAGAGTGCTTAGCCAGGGATTTTTAAAGCCCAACCTGGTGAGAGTAACACAAGCAGTTAAGTCAATAAAGGGTTAGCATCTATACACAGTCGATGCTTATAAACAATTCATGGCAACAAAGTAGCACCTAGGAACGTTGTGCAATACACTTTGATAAATATTAGAACAATAATAGAATAGCATCATATTTGACCAGCATCTAAACATAAAAGATGTTTGATAATTAAACACTAGTTGGAAACGCGTACAAAATCTGGGGCATGGAAGTACCTCTAAGTAGCCTGGTGTCATCCTGGAAATGATCATTGGTGAAACCTAAAAATATTTCAAAATTGGGTCAAAAAACAGACAGTGCGGATTCTATTCTGGCCATTGTTGACCAGTTTATTTCAGTTCAATATGGGATTTGTAGCATAAAAAAAGTCAAGGGAGATTTTCTCTTGGATGTCTATGATAAAGACTTGTGATAAATAATTTGGTGTCTAAAGTTCTTTTACGCTCGTGTCTGTATCCAGGGATTACGTTTGATTATGCTAGTGCTTGAGATGCTAATGCAATCCCAATGGGAGCTTGCTAATATTTACACATTTAGACACATAGCACAGAATAGCTGCTTTAGCGTTAGCATATTAGCATACACAGTGCTGGTTTCCTCCCAATGCTTGCATTTTTATGCCATTTTCCCATATTACTGAAGTCCCAATGCGTCACAGCACACCAGATCTCAAAAAGGTGTCCAATTATTAGTAATGAGGGAGTGTGCGTGCGGGGACGGCAGGCAGATGCAAGTATTGAAATGAAGACTAATAACATTGCGATAACATCAAATTAAAAAAGGCTGCAGGTGAGTTAATCCATGATAAGCCACGACAAGTGCCAGACATGCAAAAATATCCATGCGCCATTTCAACATTGAAGGAATGAGACACAAATACAACATGTAATATCCTCTGTTTGATACAAGTGTTTCAACATAAAAAGCAGACATTACCACCGGTTACTAGTTTCTGCTGAATGTGCTGGAAAATAACTGCTCCTCAACAGACTACTACAACAGCAACGTTCTAGTACATTTCCTTTTTTTATAATTCAACAACCTGACTATATCTCTCTTTGCTATGTCTCTCATCATCGTCTTCCTTATTCAGGCTTGGAACAGATAGTGCTGTACGGTTGTCAAAACTCAGACTTTCCCAAGTGTTCCATCAACAATTCATATCATATTCAACTTACTCACTATCTCGATACAGATCCAAACCTGGATGGAGCCTGATAACTACAACTTCAGCTGCTACTTCTTCTACTACAACAGATCATATATAATAACAATGCCACAACCATCTCATTTTTACAGATGATGATGATGAATATTTTATTCATCAAATACAACAAAAACCACTAACAACAATTACCTAACTTGTAAAACATTACAGGGATGTCAAAGTCAAATCCATCACAGGGCCAAAAAACACATTTTCTACAAGCTGAGGGCCGGACTTGTTCAATGTTTACCACAACATATTACAATGATAGCATATAATCTATTGGACCAAAACCTAACACAGTGTACTCTATTTTATTTAATAATTAAATGGGTGACGGGTTCACAGACAAAAACAAACTTGCTTCAAAGAAAAAGCCCATGTCCTGAACAGTAAATGAATAATCCAATATTTTCTTATGGCTCTATGCGGGCCGGTTCTAATACTAATGAAATATCATCCAGGGGCCGAGATAAATAATTTGCATCCCCCGAGCCTTGACTTTGACACCCATGCTATAGACTAAAGCTGGACATTCTTAATGATAGTTGGTCAGTGAAACATGTTTCAAACTCTCCAACACATAAAAAGTATAAGAGGCTTCACGACTACACTGTTGCTATTGGTTACTTTTAATTGAATATGATTTGTTTGACTCATTGACTAGAGAGTGGCCCCCCTGATATAATTAGCGTCAATGAAAGAAAAACTGGTTTTCTGTGCGTGTTTGTATATGCCTCAGTTGCCACATGATGGAGCATGAACACAGGCCACACACACATGCCACGAGACGTTCGAGTGCCGTGGGAGAAGAGAGCGCTTACTTCCTGTGGGGATCAAGTCTCTGTCTGGAATGAAGAGTTTATACCCGTAGTGCTTCTCCAGGACCTCGGGCAGAATCTCCAGGGCGAAGCGCTCCTCCTCGCGGGTCTCCTGGCTCCACTGGTCTGGGTCCACTTTGGTGTAGGACAAATACGCGTCGTAGTCTTTGTTCTCTGGAAAACAGCAGGAAATGACATAGGCCTTTTTTTAGGTTTTGAGTTGAGTGAGTTTAGGACTTGTACAATTATAATTTTGCAGTTGGCTAAAACAGTTGAAGTAGCCTTTATCTTATATACTGAATTTTGATTGTTCTAAACGTTTTTATAGAACAAGCATGTCCGAGCCACTTGCGGCCCCCTCTTACATTTTATGTGGCCCTCTACCGCTAACATAAAGCAGTCTAAAGTTCACGGTGCTGTCGAGGCCTACTTCAGCTCCACCAACATATGCATGCTATATACAGTACCTCGTGAATTCAGAATATTTGTATATACAAATATAGACTATTTTCTCTATGGTGCGAATCATTTGTCATTCAGTCAACTTCAGCTCTGTCAATACATTTGGACGTGTCATGCGTCCATTTTATCACAGATAATTAAAAGTAGAAGAAACATAGCTCTTTCTTGTAAGGATAATACTGTATATATCATGTTTTCTAATAAGAGGAAGACAGCATGTTGTGGTCTGAATGTTCACAGAAATGACTTTTTTCAAACAAAAGGCATTTTTCAAACACAAGGCATTTTCTCTCGACAGGTTAGAATTATCTTACACATATTTACAGCTATAACACTTGGATTCTTACAGAGGCCAGAGTGGCTCCATCACAGATTATTTCGTTGCTCATCTATTGACCACACATTGAACTTCCTAAGAATCAAACTCTACAACTCTCCCCGTGTTAAATTGATTTATAATACGTATCATTACTCCCATTGACCTTTTTGACTGCAGCTAATTGCACCGGACTTACACCTAGAAGATCAATCTGAATCAAATCCATTAGGTGCCCTAGTAGAAGGGAAACTACAAGGAAAGTTACTGCTAAAAAAAATGATTAGCAACCCAGGATTAATTCTAATCCTTTTGCAAGTTCAATAAAGGGGACAGAAAATGCTAAAGGCCTTCACAGCTTTTTACCTTCAAATATTACACTCTACAAGGGGCAGAGCTCAGAGCGCGACAGCAAGACTTTTATAAAAGTGTTTTAGCTCAAGATTGACATTTCAAATGATTCTCGCTTTGTTGAAAACTGCAGTGTATAATAGAACTGGACTAACCAAACGCTGAAGATTTGAACATAAGCGAGCTGGAGCCTCTTTCCTTGTACGGGCATTTGTTAGCTTTGCACTGTGACAGATGCAAACTAGCATGTGGCTAACATGGTTGCTAAGGTATGCTGGAGTTATTGGTCAATTTGTTGGACTTGGGTCCTGACATCTTTAGAATGCCATTTGACCTTCATACACATGCTCAAAAAAGTTTATAATAAATTTCCTCAAGCTTTACATAAAGAGCAATCTTTCTCTATCACAGGCAACAAAATGCCTTGATTCTGCAGAAGGAGAAAAAAAAAAAAGCACACCCACAAATCTGCCAGATCCACGCACATAACCTCTCCAGATTGCTGCGTGCACCACATTCTGTTCGCGTCGCACATCGAACTCTGTTGTTGCACTACAAGGGTTTGCATCGTGTCAAGTTAGAGAACATGTCTTTCTCAAACATAAATATTTGACACTATTTTTTGGCTTGCCCAAAGACGTGGCGATGCAGCGAATGTGGCTCGACTTAATTAATGGAATCTGCCTCCGAAAACCGCAACAAATCTGTTCATCTGCAAGTGACACTTCACCAAAGACTGCTTCCAGAACTGCGGATAGGATGACAAAATAATTAGGGTCCGATTCTGGATCAACTGAATCGGGCTTCATTGAGCTCGCAGGTTAGCATTCTCCATGTATAGACACAGCAGAAATATGTTTCATTTCCACTTTACATCAGATCACAACGACCTATGCTGCGATCTTAATATGCGTGAGGCTTCTCTTTACCTCCACGTCAACTACTATATCTAGCGCCTGGAGGTACGACTGAACTGCTGAACCCGCTATAGGCAGCGTGAGAGCTAACCCGTGTCTGCTAACAAGAACTCCAAACAAACGCCTCTCCCGATGCGGTTGTTTTCCCTTTATTTAATTTACTTGGGCAGAAAAATACTTTGCATCAGAAGGAGGCGAGAAGCTGTAATTGAATTGACAGTAAAATTCAGTTTGGGAGTTTGGCACAGTACTGTCTTGCCTCGAATATTTAGGGCATTTTTGTTTAAAATAATTACAGCTGTAGAAGTGAACCGAGGAAACGTTTACAAAGGAGAACAAATGCTCACGCTTCCTCTCAAGCTCTTTAGACATAGTTAGTTTACTCTTGATTTTATGGGAGGTAAGTGTTTTCTTGAAACTACACAAATCCAGTAACCAGAGGGATTCTTGTTCAGATATGCAGGAAAAACGTGGATCTACTCTTACTCACAATGCCCAGTGACAGAAAATGATGCTATAACTTTGCTACTCCAATACCAATAACACATTCATATTACTTAAAAAAAAAAAAAAAAAACTGTATATTTAGTATATTTTTTGCGTATTTGACCTGGTAGTGTGACCCAGTGTCTGTGAGAGAAGTCAGCCGGGCGCCCTAACCTTTGATCAAGGATTTGTCTACAGAGCTCCAGGATGAATTTAGTTGGTTTTCTGGTCAATGGGTCCCACAGCAGAAAAAAAAAAAAAACCTTCCAAATATAGTATGTGCCTGACCACAAAGTAACAAGATAAAATAAAGAAAACTAGGAATTGAGCCAAACCTCTGCATTTCCATCTCCAGTCTGATCTGTCTTGTAGGCTTGAACTACTCAACTCTATAACACTACTTTCTATTCCCGAAAGTAGTGTCGATCTTTGGCGTTTGCATTTAGACCTCCGACTCGGGCCGCACAGACGCTTCCCTCATGGATCATTGTTATTCAGCTAGCTGTGTGTGGCGCAGATGCTAACCCTTTATCTCTATGCAGGTGTAGCGGCTGTAGCTGATCTAATCTAAAGTACTGCTCCCGCGAGACATCCGGAGGCGGCCTGCTGCGTCTTATTGAACCTAAACCTTTTATAGGGAGGAACAAATTGAAAATCTGTTCCCCTCGTCCCAGCGCTCACTCGGGGTGGCACAATTAAAAGAGACACTGCGGCTGCTGGAATTTGGAACTTCAGAAGAGGAGGAGGACTTTTTATCTATTCTTTTCTTTAGGCGCACATACATGCCCGTGGACCAAATCATTTAAAGGTGAAGTTATAAGACCAGGAGAAAGCAACAGAAACTACAGATTTTGAACTGTTTTAGAAAAAGATGTCTTTGTTCTAAACTTGCATCAAATGGATCTAATCATGTCAAACCGTTAATCCATTCCATATTCCATTCCATGTGCATTTTTGATTGTGTAAAAGGAGAAATTCATTTACAAAAACAAACCTACTAACACAAAGAGGTGGCCACTAAACATTTCCAAAAAGCAATTTTAGTACAATAGTAGTTTGCAATTTTTTTTTTCAAAACCAGCATTTATATGGAAACAAATATGCTAATTGTATGTCCATTTTTGACTGAAAAACAAAAAATGTGACTAGTCCTCTCAACACATTTTGGATGCATCACTGGTTTTGGCCTCTGTCACAACTTTAGATTGGCTTTCTCTGACTTAGCCAATCAGCTCTCAGGGCTCGTTCTCACAAATGTGCAAAAGAGCTGTTTCTTGTGGAGACTTTCTCGCAATCAAGTCTTACATCTCACGCGGCGTCTTTCTAATTTAGATGATGCCGTGTTGTGGTGTGCTCTGTTCATATTTGACTTCTACAAGACTCTCTGTGGGGACAAACAAGTTATTTATGGGAAAAAGTAACGTAACAAAGCTTTAAGTCAACCTTTTGCTATCCATTTTATTTATCTTCACTCCAGGATTACTCCAACATTATAACCATACAACCATTAGTTTGATTGAGAAAGAGTAGGCTGTACTGTTGTGTATACACTATCATTTTAAATTGTCACATTCCCATGAGCTAAAACACTCAAAACATGTTTAAAATAAGAAATACTAAAGCCTATAGAGTACAGTGTCTGCCCTTTTCTGTTTGTGTCCGCAATCTGCAACATGAACCTCACAGACCTGGACTCTCCTATTGTCCATTCTTTCCCAAAGTAAGTGAAGCTTCCAGGTCTCCATTGTCTCCAGCCCTGCTCCTCTCTGCTCTGCCGAGACTCGTTACACAGAAATCAAATTAAAAACCCTCCTCCTCGTCTGGAGTTTGAACATTTTGGGCCACGAGTCGTCCTCCAGGTCCAATAATAACGGCCTTATTTTAACTTGTGCTGATGAGGTCCCAGAGTTCACCTTTTCGTCTGCTTTTCCGCATTATTCACTATGGCAACAGGATCATGTGCGATTAAGAACACAGGCTGCAGTAATAAAGGCAGAACTGAAATTCATCTTGTGTTGTAATTTGAGCAGTTTATCTATTCATGGTTTTAAGGCGGTAATTAACAGCTCATATAAAACTTTATCACTTTTGAAGGATCTACACACTCAAAAAGTAAAATAAAACACAGGGAAATAGCATCATGGGGAGAGACCGCCATAACTTCTATACTGACACTAAATGTTTTACCGTCAGTGTCAGTATATACATACAGTATATAACCACAATAAAAATGTACATTTTTTTCATGTTTCCCTGCGTCCATCCAGAACACTGCAAACCAGTACAGACCAGTATTCTACGATAAAAAAGTAAACTTCGAATCAAAAGTTGTTTACAAACATCAGCTCGCCTCAATGTTTTCCGCGGCTGGCCCCAAAAACAGCAATTGAAGATTCGGACTTCATTACCCAGAAGCCCCTTGCATCTCTGCTTCCTGTAGTTATGTCTGCCGTGTGATTACTTTAAATACAGGCGTGGAGGCAAAAGGAGGCCGCATCAAACAACTTTTCGAGGCGTTTCTTGTGGAGACTTTTAAGTTTTTCATCTCATTCCAGTTCCCGCTTTGCCACGAGCAAGACTGAACGCAGGTGGGGGTGGCTGCAGCCGACGAGATAAGAGAGAGTTCCAGTCTGTAATAATAGCTCTGCTCCTAAATCTAATGTTTTATAATGGGACCAATCATGCTTTAAAAGAAGCCACTTACAAGGGCTATCCTTCTCATTTTCACATTCGTACATTTTGCCCTCCAAGTGAGGAAAGTTCATCAAAATCTGTACCAATTCAATTATTGGTAATGATTGGTGCAGATTGTCTGAAAAATGCTGATCTGAAAATGTAACAGGGGCCAAAGTAGGGAGAATAAGTCTGTAATCTAATGGAACCAAAGCGTTTTGAGCAAGGAACCAGATTCTCAAGATCTCGTTTAATGGCCAACATTTCTCACAAACGGAATGTCCTCTTATTATGTTTGAACTGGATGTAACAAATGGACTACAACATCATATCTAGAGACAGGTGTGTGTGTGTGTGTTTCTGTGAGTGTGTGTGTGTCTCTCACCTCCGTCCAGGTCCTCGCTGCCAAAGTGCGTCCGGTAAAACAGCATGATCTCGATGCGGTAACATTTGTACAGCGTCACAAGGAAAATAAGTAGCAGCAAAATGGCCCCCAGTCCTCCAGCCAGTTCCACCGTGTACATCAGCTCCTCTGAGGGGAGAGAGGGGGATAGAAGGTGAGACAAGATCCTCTGAGGACCAGAGAGGGGGGAGAGGGTGAAGCATCAGCTCCTCTGAGAAGCAGTGAGGGGGGAGAGAGGGTGAGACATGATCCTCTGAGGACCAGAAAGGGGGGAGAAAGGGTGAGACATGATCCTCTGAGGACCATAGAGGGTGAGACATAAAGGGTGACAGTATTCAGAGATTGGTTCATGTGTGGTCCCTGATCTCACTGTGACTGAATGATACTGTAGTTAAACAGGGGAAAGGGTCAGTGGGGAAATTACAATGTGTGTTAAAAACCTTGTTTAGGGTTTGTCCAATAATTCGTGGATATCAAAATTGCAAGACCTATTTTGCGTAAATTTCGGCAAAAATTATCCTTTATTTTATTGATTTAAAAAAAAGTTTTGAATACATTTGCGTTGTCTCGGCTTCACACCTTCAATCAAAATGGACACCGATTCTGACAGCGAACGCGAATTACAAGAAGTCTTACATCTTTTGCCACATGAAGATGCAAACACAGACCCGGATTTCAAACTTTACTTTATTCTTATATATCGCTAAATAACAACAGTAGTCATCTCAGAGGACTTAACAGAACTGTTAAATTGTCAACGCAGATCAGAGAATCAACAGTCAAGACACACGTTATATAGAGCACATAGGTATTGGTCCATGGGGAGAGACCAATGCCCATGAATGTTTATATGTCCATACATGTTGTAGAATGTAAAATGGTCTTACCATATCATACTCATTACATTTCTTACATGTAGGGAAATAATAATTGAGCAGAGTTTACGGATAGCTAAGGCCAGGCTAAGAGGGTTCAATCAAACGGCTTCAGACTCAAACTTTTGTATGATAAATGTTTTCCCACAAGTACTAAATGTGATACATTTTATTCATGCATCTCAGTAAATTGCACCAGAATTTGCCAAGCAGGATATTTTTCATCTGCAGTCCTTGGACAGGTGTACATAGTCTCCCTAAAGATAATAACAGTAAACGTCATACAATAATAAAATGCAGAAAAAAAACATTTCAGACAGTAGGGGAGAAAAAGAAAACTTCACATAATAAAAACACACTAAAGAGATATTTACAAAGCAATGTGTGAGGGGACCTAAACTAATGCTTACAGGTCTGCTGTGTCACTAACCAGTTTTTCAAATGTATTTTGATGTTATGGTGTAAATTCTCTGTTTCCTGGGGTGGAGTTCCAGTCTCTGGCAGTGTTTACAGAGAAGGCCCTCCATCTCAGAGGAACCAGGCAGTCCCCTCGTGCTGCCAATCTGGTTACCCGCTGAGACAAAGCAGAGTTCCTGATGCGGACAAACTGGCTGAGTGGAGGAATTGAAAGATTGTGGATTATTTTGTTTATTAAATATCCATCCATCCATCAATCCATGTTCTTCCTCTTCTCTGTTGCCAGGTCACGGGGCCAGCAGTCTAAGCAGAGACGCCCAGACTTCCCTATCCACACACACTTCTTCCAGCTCGTCCGGGGGGACCCCAAGGTGTTCCCAGGCCAGCTGAGAGACATAGGCTATATCCACACGAAGACAAAACGCTTATAATTTCAGAAACTTTTTCTGTAAACACGGATTTAGCTCAGTAAATGTGTGCGTCCATATGAATGTAGTCAATACGCCTGAAAACGCTGTGAAACTATGCCAGACCTGTTGGTGGCGCTGTGACGCAATGACGGGATCAAGCCCAAACTTCCGTGGGCATGCGCGGAATTTTGTAAACAGACAACATGGCGAGTGGGCGAGCTGGTACTACATTAGTATGGACGGACGATGAGGTTGAACTGTTGCTTCGGGTCACACTGGATTACAAAACCAACAAGCTACATTGTTGTTGTCATTATTTTCTGAGTGCGGCGCATGCGTGCTTTAACAAGAGGCGGGGCGATGACGCAAGCGTCTCAGATACATTGCGGAGAGGCAGTAACCACGGAGCGGCATATACGGAGTTTTGAAATCTTTCCACTCTGGGACCTAGTTTCAAAAATGTTCGTTTACACCCCCCCAAAACGCCGGCCTCGTATGGACGATACACTGGATTGATAAAGTATTTTTGCGTTTAGGCCTGAGCTTGACTTCGTGTGGACAGGGCCATAGTCCCTCCAGCGTGTACTCACGAAGCTTAAGCACAAAGTCAGAATGGAAGACCAAAGAGACGTCATGCTGCCACTGGACTCCTCCCTCTATACACCTGCGCCTGAGCTCAACAGTAATCAGCCTCAGCTGCTCAGTGACACACCTGTGCTCTTCACTTCATGGCTGCATTTTAACCGAGCCTCTCAGTTCTCTGCAGCTCGAGCAGCAACCCACCTCATCCCCATCACCGGAGCAGGACAGGTCACAGAAGCAGATTTGAAGTAGCCTCTGTGTGGAGCAGAACGGGTCACAACAGCAGAGGTGATGTAGCCTCTGGGTGGAGCAGGACAGGTCACATTTTTCAAAAAGTTAGCATTCCTCCAGTGGAATTTCACCTGATCTGCTTGGTTCTGACCATGAATCCTCTCTGCTCCGGTCTGGACCAGTGAAAAACCAAGAACACTTTACTGCAGCAACATCTCAGGTAGAAAAAAGCAATACAAATAAAAATTGTAAAGCACAAAACAACAGCTATTTCAGAGCTACTTAGGACTTGCAGCCGTTTTCCAGAGCGAAAGTAAATAAATGGATGGAAACACAAGCTCAGTTTGAAAATGCCATTCAATCAAAAAACATTTTTATAGCACAAAATGTGTACAAGGCAATTCAAAGTTGTCTTGAATACCAGTCCTTCACAAAATTATATATATATATTATATATATATATATAATGTGACAATTTTGAAGTTGCAGTATAGCACATTGCACATAATTGCAGTCTTTACTTATTTACAGATGAATTTAAAGGCTCAGCAGTTCAGCTAAACAGATATGATAACAATCTAGTTTTGAACATGGTCAGGGTAAAGGCCCGTCTCACAACCTCAGGAAGACTGTTCCATATTTTAGCTGCATAAATCTGAAATGTTGCTGAGTCTGGGCCACTGGAGCTGAATGCCCAGTGCTTGAGCTAGTGGCCTCTTCATCCATCATACAACTGGACTGGACGAGAAGAGTGATGGAAACACACAAGATGGAGTAGTTCTTACAAATCTCATTTCAGAAGAACTGGTTTTCTAAGAAGACAGACCACAAAATGAAGGTAATATGTTACATGGGGACAGATGGACTCACTGATCTTGGCCTGGAGTTATTGGAGCTTGCACGAATGGTCTGTCGCTGAGGACCAGAATAAGAGATATGTTTTTGTTGTTGAGACGTAGATAATGGAGAGGGCAGCTTCTATTCAACATAAATAAATCTTATTGAATGGCTTGTACTCTTGCTTTGATACGTCATTCATTCATTAACATCCCCTTTATTAATCCATTTCTGGCAATCATAGTTGCCAACCTCATAAAACCAGTCCCTGGCTGATCCTTCAGCAGGTGGTGGGTCCACTGAAGGATGGATCCAGGTTTAGCCAACATAAACACAAGGACGCACAAGTCTGTTTTTACTTTTTCCTGCTCAACTGGCCTCATTTTAACCAGAGGATTACACACATCTAAAGTCCAACTATTATCTGGATTAAAAAATGAAACTGGTCTGATCTGAAGTGGCGTATTGACGTTTATAAGGCAAAACCATAATACACTTACGTACTATACTCTATTTCAACCTCGATTCTACTCTGGTTGCGTTTCCATTACGCTTTAGTATGTTGTACCGCATCTTATAGCAACCTCCCCACAACAACCCAGTATACGGGGAAATTCCTTGTAACTATGGCCTCCAGTAACAGGTTAGAACCAGGGCCAAGTCGGGACTAAAAAGTACCTAGTACAGGTCAAACAGGGCCAGATAAAACCTCCCAATCCCAAGTAGAGTAGAGGACAGTTGAGTAAAGTAGAGAGGACTGGAGCAAAGTACAGTAGAGCAAAGTAGAGTAGAGAAGAGCAGAGTTAAGTTGAGTAGATCAGGGCCAAGTGTGGGTGGTGGAGAGGAGGCTCTCCTCAAAGCTTGCCTAACCTGCACACTGGTTAATAAATCAGTTTTCAGACCTGCCTTTTTCACTTCGTAAACTTGTACTGTGTGGAACATGTCTTCCTGATGCCTTGGACTATTGGACTCTGTTTCTCGGTCTGCTAATGCTGCCTTGAGTCCGCTCCTGTCTCTCCTTCACTAGTCTCCACTCCGTCTCTCTTGTTTTGCTTGAGCGCGTGCAGCCGGCCTTCATTGACTGACTAATGGTATTGGCTCTAAACCGCTCGGACTCCGCCACACGGCTAACCCCTCTGCATCTGTATCCATCAACCGTTAGCATTTAGCCTTCTCTTTGACATCCTGCATTATAAAAGATGATGGCTAACAAGGCTCTATAACGGTTAGCGACCTTGGAGCTAGGCCTGGACAAACAAGGTGATAAACAAAGCTCCCATGCCCCAGGAGTGAGAGTGTGTTTGTGGACATGCAGCAGCAGCTAACAAGCTAACGCCGCACACCGCTAATAGTAGCCCGAGTCCGTTTGGCCTCCTGCCCTACGGTTTCCCCTGTTAACAGTTTTGGGCCTCGGTAACAAGCTGCAGGAGTAAGGTGGGGTGAGGCGGTTGTTACAGCATCCAGCCTGAGACACACAGACAAAAAGATAGACACAAAATGCACACACACATATGTTAGTGGTTGTGTGAAGTCATATAATGTCAAATAACCCTGTTTTCTATTTATAAATTATAGCCCTGGCTCTTGGCTCCTATGTGTTTATTAATATTGCATTTCCAGTGTTTGATTCTCTGATCTGTTGTCAGTGAATTGACAACTTTGTAATTACCTCCACAACTACTGGGAATATACACAAATGCATTTAATCAACTTTAAATGCTATTTCAAAGGTTCTCTATGAATACCATCCACACATTTCGCACAAGATACAATTACACATGGTAATAGACAATATGTATAAAGCCTATCCATGTTTTCAAACGTGTGTGAATCACTATTTTGTCTCCTGTAAAATGATTGTCCAAACCAGAACAACAAACGTCCATTGGGTTTCAAAATGAGGACTGTTTCCATGGTGATACATTTACTATATTTCATGAATCGGAAAAGACATTCAATTAACTTTAAATTTTCAAACATCTCTCGCGCAAATAAGTTGTTGCGAAGTTGAAATCAGGACATATTCTTCAACTTGCGAGCCGCATTCTGATTGATGCTTCTCCATTTCAAAGTGTGCCACAAAAACCGGGCAGAAACTTCGCCTCCCGCTGCGTCAACCAATTTCCAACCAACCAGAAAGACATTAAAGATAGAAAAAACATAAAAGTAAGTCTAACTCACTGTTGTCACGGCTGCATAACACAGACTAGTATGTTTTGGAGGCATTGTGGTCCTTAAACCAAGCTAATCCTTCTTACAGGCTGCCATCAGTGCCTGAGCTTAAAAGGGAGAGGTGCGTCTTACTATGCAAATATATTCAACCTGCCCGGCTATAAGGAAGCGATACGTGATACAAGTTGCTACAATGGATATGTTAGCTCTGACTCCCAAAAAGTAAGCACCGAGAAAAGCATTTAGGGAGCGTCAACAAATGTCAAGACCAGCTTTGTAAACGAACAATAGCTTTTATGTGATGCCATGCACACGCACACAACTCTCAGACACTATAAATAATGACCATGTCCTACTGCTGCAGACTTTGATTTCAATTTGTGAGTTTTTTTTTATATTTTAAATGAGTACATATGTTTTCTTTTTTTGAATTGATTTAACAGGAAATGGCCTTTACTGTAACATACATAAATTATGTATTACAGCACTTGTCTCTTTTATATTTTTTATGACTAATAAGCATGCATTAAGTCTTTAACCAGCCAAAGAGTTCCACCTGTTTATTTAATTTCATTTTTGACTAAGGATTTGTTTTTTTTACAAATTACATTCTAAAAACAGAAATTATGAAATTCCATGATTCCTGTGTAGATTGAAATAAGAACTAAAAAGTGCTCAACTCGATCCACCCAAATGGTGTCCCTTAATTTTCTGTTCTTAAGTTGTCAACCCTAGTCAGGACTGAACATGGACAGGCAGTTCAGGTTCATGCAGCTAAAATCTGCAGTCCTGAAACTGAGGGACAGGCTTCTTATTTGACAAATCCAGGTTGAAACTATCCACAAACAGTTTTTCTGTGCATCAAATTTAAGAAGTGTTTAAATTTAAAGTGTTTAAGACTTTATACATTAATTTATTTAAATGTGTTATTTATTTAAAAGCTATGTTTAAAAAAAATATATATATTATTAAACCTTTGATTTTAAACTTCCTCTCATTTTTCTAAGAATTGTACTATTTAAAACAATATATTTCTTTGTGTGCTGTGTGGGATTAGAGCACGAGGCAATCACACTTTTGAAAAGTTCCTTTGCATGTGTTGCAGCTCCAGTCGGTCTGTGGTCTCTTCTCTGACAGTCCTGCCCTGGTCTTGAGCCTGGTCTCATCCTCACTCCAGTCCCCTCCATCACCACACGACTGATGTGTTTTCTGGGAGGTCCAACAGCTTGTCTGCTCTTTCTGCTTTAATACTTCCTCAGGCACAAAAGGATGGATGATGCGTTTCTGCGCTATCCACCAAAGCTCTCCACTTTCCCCCTTCAGGCGTAAAAAAACAACAATTCCCACAATGCCTCTGGTTCATCTGCTCGCGTCAAAGACAAGGACCAGTGGATTTAATAGTAGTGTCTAGTGTTAGAGGATGTAACCGGTCGTAATGAAAAATCAAAGATGGTAAGGTTGGTGAGTCCGTGCCAAGGCTAATGGGAGAAAAAAATCTTTTCTCTGCTTCACAAACAAAAACATGGGAATAGCTTTAATTTCATTATTTACATTGCAATATTCAAACAATGCATTAGGATTGGTCTATACATGCTCATAAATATTAAAGTTGAAAAAAACCCAGAAATGTTATCAATGTTCCAACTCAAGACAGCAGTGAATACTACAGTTACTTGAAGTTTAAAGTAGTAGTGGTCAAAATTCTCTTTCTCTACTCTCGTTTTGGAGGATGAACAATTACCATAGCCATACATACATTACGATCTGGATCATAGCCCACTTTCAAAACACCAACATTATCAGTTTTCCTTTGTTTTGCTTTGATCTGGCTTCAGTCTGGTCCAGTGCTATAGTTTCACTTCTGATTCAGCCAGCTGCCTTAGTTTCATTCGACTGCTTTGTGTTTGGATTAGTTTTGGTAAATTATGTATTATGGTGGGTTCTAGAGTCCAGTCGATGCAGTTTTGAGTTTAACCTTTTACCCTTACAAATGTCATGTTTGTTTAAAGTAGTTGTAGCTGTCAGTGAAAATGTTTTGTTTACATGTATCTTTTTATTCTGTTTATAATCTGTTTATAATAGTGTATTTATTGTGTGTCGCTTCTGACCCCTTGTGGTGGAGTTGTGAACTTGTATTACCTGTGTAATATGCGCATGCGTGCATTGTAGCCATTACGTGAGAGACAGAGCGAGAGAATGGCGAAAAGGATGGACAAGGTAACCTCGTGCTGAACAAAAGTAAGGATATGGACAGCAAAAAGTACTGACAACTCCAGAGTGTAATTGCATATTGTTTTTTTGTAAGTTTTTTGAACATGTGTGTATTTTGCTAATAATATGTTTTTTGTGCACCGTAGTTATTCAGGGTGCGTTAGGTGGCTTTGTTGTAAATAAATGTCAACTAAACATTAGTCAGAGCGTCGGCCTTTTATCCAAGCAATAATTTCTGGTGCCTTTATAGTAGTTTTTTATGGCCCTCTATAAATTTAAGATAAACAGTCCTGGTTTAAGCTATTGATGCTACAGTATAAAATAAACAGTCACCTTGTTCACTCTTGCTGTTATCACTTCATTCCGTAAGCTTATCCAACTGCACAAGAACTTTGGGCATGTGCAGTGTACTTTCGTAATCGGTATGGCATTAGAATTTTAGATGGTCATGTGCAATGTATCCTTACTTTTGGTTTATTGTGTATACTGTATACTGGACTGTCCTGATATTGAGACAGCACTTTGAGCCTAAGACCCTGAGCTCACTGCAGACCTGGTCTATAAATTCAATACAAAACAGTCAGATACCAAGTTAGATTAATTGAGAGGAATATACTTTATCTTATGTTTATGGACAGATCAATGCTTTTGTCTTTCTCTCTCACTTACGTTTCTTGGCCAATTGGACGTTGGCTTGTCTTCGTCCATTGCTGTTTTCCACATAACACGAGTAGTTCCCAAAGTCGCCCTCGTCCAGAGCCTCGATGATCAGAGATATGGACACTTCCTGCTCCCCCAAGTGTTTACGAATCGTCCTGCAGAGAGAGAGAGGGACGCGACGCTGTTAGTCAAAACCATAAACAACATGGCAATCCTGTACTACTGCACAACTTCTACCATGAGATAATATAACATGAGATAAATCTTTATCGATCTCACAATGGGAACATTTACGTGTTACATTTGCCATCAATAAGATCACGGGAGTGAAAATATATAGGAAATGGGCAAAAGGTTAAAAAGAATAAAATATAGAAGATATAAGGCATTAGCTGTGATGTGAAGTAGTGGGAATAGAAAAAAAATCCAAACTCCAAACAAGCAGTTCTTTCAAGTCATAAGCACATATTAAATTAATGAAATATAGATTTTCTGACAGACATGTTTGGCCCATGGAGTCTCAGCTTGTGTCAATAATATATCTCCCAAAGCGAAAACGGCGACCTTCACGTGTGTTTGAATTCAAATTTGGTCGTTCAACCAAAAAACTGGGAAGTCACGTTCATGTGCAATGCATTTAATACCAAATATGTTCTATGGGAGCCGCAAGGACTAGAGACAAATGAATAAAGAACACATGGCAGAGCAAACTACTCTTAGTTCAGATGTGTGTTGACTTAAATTCCCCTTCCCTTGTTTTTTTGGATACATCTTAATGTTAATAAAGTTACTTCCTGGTTTGATATGAGCACAAGATGTGACAAACCTTTCTTCAACTACTTTTAGCATTTATCTTTTTCTTCCCACTAAATAGGTAAAACAACTGTAGAATATGAACCTCAGCTTGGCCACTTTCTGAAGTCCATATCTGTAACTCAACAACTTGGAATTGGGAGACGAAACCTTAAGCCTTTCGTTTGACTGTGTTTCAGAGAACCATAGAAAACCTAGACTGACATCGTCAATCCGAGTTTATAGAAAAATACTAATATATAAATATTTAATGTATTCCAAAATGCTGTGTGCATTTGCTTACAGGAACTGCCACCAAAGCAGCCCTCTAAAGCCTCATCGTAAATCATTAGCGTTTCCCCTCTTCCTCTTGATAATCACAATAGTCTTTGTAAGTCCACAATGATCACCCATAATGCTCCTCCTTCGCTCGATAAAACTAATTCCTCATTGCGAGCCGTTTACATAGCAAAGAGCCATTTTTTACTGCCAAAATGCAACACTAATGTAAGCTAATGTTACACGCTATCTGGTCCTGCTATCGGAGCCTACGCAGCCATTGATCAAGCGCTATTACAGGAGGTTGTATGCTAGCGCCGGCGGTAGCATCTGATGAATGTCCCAGTGAGGCCCTTGCCTTTTGTGCGATTAGCTTCATGCATCATTAGCCACGCAACTTTCAAACAGCAGCAATGTTGTATAAACCTTAAAACAGGCGTTTATTTATCACAGCAGCCTCAGGAACAGCAAACATAATGGTGGGAAGTTTTATTTGGGAGACGGTTCAATGTGAAGGATTCTAATGACGACAAATCAACTGCTAATGTGCGTTCAGCCATTTTTATACATATAACTCTACAATGCTTTTTCAAAACAAGGAGTGCTATTACTGGTAAAATGATTTGGTTTTCATTTTCTCTTTAGCTATAAAATCTGACATATACAGAGTTTGTCTTAGAGATGGGGTGAGGAGCTCAGACAGACGTGTCCGCTTTCCCAGCCTTAAAGGTAGAAGTGTGCAACAGTGCTCCTGGCTTGAAAGGTAGAAATGCAGGAAATCGTTCCCGGCCTCAAGGGGTGAAACTGCAGCCCTCGACCTGGCAACAGATGACGCGAGAGAAAAAGGATGAATGACACAAACCCTCACATATGTATTAATTGATTGATTACACTGTGTGTAATTGCCATATCCCCATATCAAAATTGAGGACAACTACACTCAAACAGACCACATGAGCAAAAGTCGTATATCAATGATCCAGTAACCAAAGAGCTGATCAGAAGCAGCACCGGCCTGTTCCCGGTCACTCACTAAAGCTGACTTTGGAGACAGACGGCACCAGACTGGTCAATTATTAGGAGTCATAACTTGATTTAAAAAATAAATGATAATAAAGCGTTCTTATTGAACTTAAAATTCTGTTTAAAACTGAAAAGAAACTTTTCAGTTTCAACAGAAACTTTTCAGTGTGTGTGAATGACGCTAGAGTTGGGGAAAAGCTTTACCATGAGCACTTCCCTATTATATCCTCTACATAAGTGAAGAGGACAGTGCAGGCCAGAGAACATAGCGGTAAAAGTCAGATGTAAGCCTTTGTCCTTGTGGTCTCTGTTGCTGGTTTGGTCAAACGCAAGACCTTGGAAAGAAAAGCAATATCCAGCATCACTGTCAAACCTGCCAGCCCTCACTCTAATGTTTGGTACAAGGTTATGGACATGTGGATCTCAGCTAGTGTCAATAACACATGCATACTTTCCTATGCATTTTTCTTTTGGTATTGTAACTCGCTTCTCCAAAGGGCACTTGTCTGAAATCAGCCCCCGCAATCACATAGTGACATCTCTACACCATGAATTAGAAAATAGTAATAGAAATATCTTTGTTGTTGTTATCCAAAATTCAGTTCGACAGATTCTTGCCTTATCAGTTTCTATCTAGTGAGAAGCTGTGGTGCATACAGTGATACGTCAAAGTGCTTTCTTAATTGGAAGCATGCCCTTCAAAGACTAAACATAGAATACATATAAAGAGAACAACAAACCAAAGCACTACAGCTACTATGTCTAAAACCCCTTTCAATATAACACAAGATATTGACTGAATAGATTTTAGTCCAGTGATTGCGTCAGGACTCTATTTTAGTCCAACAAAGCTCCTCTAAACACGGCCTCCCTCTCCATTGTCCTGCGTGCCACCTCATGGCCAAACGTGCTATGATCTGCCGTCGTGGTGGAAAAAGACGACAGCTCTTCTTTCATCCCTCAGCCACGTGTCGTCCCTGATTGTAGTGGTGAGATTTGGGAGCAAACAGAGGCGTATTCTTCCTGTCAAGTCTCGAATACAAGCTGTTTTTTCCACTGAAAGGCTTTCTATTGTTCAGAATACAAAGATGATAAACATACAGGGAAAACATCGAAGTATAATGCACAAAAAGACATCAGCAACTACTAAGGTTAGCATATTTGGAGCTCTCTTTTCTGTTTTCTCGGCTGTTGCTTACATGTGGCACGGGTGAAGGTTATAAAACCACACACATATCTCAAGGAAGATAAAACTTAAAGTAGCTGTGGAGCCGTGCTTGGGTGAGTGAAGCTCTTATCAAAAATTCCACTTATTTTTGTAAAGCCCTAAATCACAACAGAAGCAACTTTCCACTCAGAATTATTTGTATTGCCATTGTAAGTAACAGGAAGTCAAACAGTATGAATTTACTTTGATACAATGGTGCAAACACAGCATAAAAAAGTAAAACATTTTTACCATGTGTATTGCTCAACGTATATGATAAACTTCCTGGGTGCACTGTGCTATGAATTAAAAAGGCTTAGTATGAAAGTCTGAAGATTGTTTTTTGACGTTTCTGTCTCTCTTTTGATGAAAATTTGGCATGGGTCCAAACAATACGCCATTTCAACACAGGGGGTTTACCTAAAACCAGATCAACAAAAGGGCCATCTGACATTGAATTCCACGGAATAATTCTGCCCAGTTTTAAAAGCATTGTTGAATCGTGTCCCATGAATGCTATCTGCTTCTCACTGTTCTCACACTGGGAAACACTGGGAAACAAATAAAATAAAATATGAGGTAATAATGGGGCGACAGTGGTTCAGGCCTTTGAGCCTGAAGATTGTCGGTTTGAGCCCACCAAGCCCACCAAGACCTACCTCACGACTCCCACTGATGACTGCTGTCGTTGTGTCCTTGGGCAAGACACTTAACCCCACTCTGCCTGAAGCCCCCACTGAAAGATCTCAGCTCCTGTGGACTCAGCACCTGCAGGAGGATCAGTGAGGGACTGGTGCTCTGTGTACTGGGTGCAGCTCTGACTGCCACCCCCCCGACCCAGAAATGGATTAAGGGGAAGAAGATGGATGGATGGATGAAGTAATAATTGCTTGAATCAAGTGGGTTTTTATCTTAATTTGAGTAGATTCTTAAATCAAGATTAGCCATTTAGTCTTATTTTAAGAACTGTTGCTTTATTTTCTCATTCCAAGGGAGACAATTCTTGTATCTTTACAAAAAAAGATCCTTTGGCTTTGTCCCTTTGGCAAATCTTGTTTTAAGGCAGCCAAAATGTGATCAAGATATATTTAGCCAAATTTGCTACATTTTTGCCTTTTTTTTTTTACATCACTTTTGGCAGTGTACCTTGTTATTATCTGACATCCATACCAAAAGTGTACATTCTATTTAGATAAGGATGCATTGATAGAATAGTTTACATACATCGATTAGTTTACATGTGATCTAGAATTTGAGAGCTTTATTTATTACTTCATTCTGGTGGTCAGACGGTGAAGTCAGAAAACCATTTGTTTTTGAATGTACAGGTCTAATTCCAGACTAGGCCTTTGCTGTTAATGCTCCCAAACTGTGGAATAGTTTACCTCTGTACATTAGAGTGACTCATTTTTAAAATCTAGTCTAAAGAACACCTTTGTGCCTCGGCTTTTAACATCCACTTAAACTGTCTTACATTTCAATTCAATTCAATCTATTCTTGTACAGCCCTAGATCACAACAGTTGTTATCTCGGAGGACTTTACATAACCGTTAAATTCACCAACACAGATCAGAAAATCAAACAGTTCAAACACAATAAATGATAAATGATAAAAAAAACACTCACGGCCATTGGTCCATAAGGATCGCATGACCAATGTCCATAACTGTTGTTGAATGACGAGTGACCTGTATCATCACCACTGTCCTTAGACCCTCTTGCATCAACAATAACATAAAAAATAAAGGTAAAAAGTGAGAAACCTTGCGGAGGCCCACATTGAGGGAGGGGTCTGATCCCACGGGTGGACGGGCTGTGGATCCAGGACTAAGGCTGTATAGAACGAGAACCGAGGCCACGCGACGAAGGACATTTTACATGTATTTGTGTGAATGTACTTCTGTTTTCTGATATTTTATCTCTTTTGAAGGACTTTGGGCAGCTGGTATTGTTGTAAATGTGTCTGTGACCGTGCTATGCAAAAAAAGTTGGAATTCAGTAGTAAGAAAATACATTCTGATATCAACAATCATTACACTATCAGAGATACCAGTAGACATACCCGGCTGTTTCACACTTCCCCACCTCTATTTGCTGTTCAAGAAAACACATATCTGCATCACATCTGCTAGAATTATCCTCAAGGTCTCACCACTGAAGCTACTCAAAGATATCTGTCCAGCTCCTTCCATATCGGCCACAACGTGAGCCTTGTGGCCCACAGTGTCATCGATTGGTATTCCTTCGCAACATTTGACCTGTGAATCATTGTGCCGGTGGCGTTTTTGGCTGTGGATAAAAGCGCTCGGAGCGAAGACGTGGAGGCTGGCAGAGCGGTGACTCATGTGGGCTAACGCTCTCACACTTAAATCGCTCAGAAACCAGGAATGCATCACTTTACATTAGCTTTATTCCAGATCCACTTGGCAGCAACCGACGGCACCATGTGAATCCGCAAACACGCCAAACGTAGCATCAAAAATAAATATCAAATAAATTCGTACGGCAACGACATTATGCACAGGTTATCAATGTTCGAACAGCAAAGCAACTAACTTGGATTAGGTTTGTGTCATGGGGAAACTTGGATTACATAACATGCCATATTGAGACAGCAAGATTATAAGCAGGGTGTTCCAAACTTTTATGTAAGAGGGTTATCACCAGACTTGTGCAGGGGACGACAACCTGTATTTAAAAACGGTTCTGACTGGATTCAGGCTGATTTGAGCTTTAGAATGGGGTTTTATA